AATGTTACTGTTATGAATACACACATAAGAGTCCTCAATGATTAACATCAAGTGAAAAGTAAATTGTACCAGAGCTGAGGCTTTCTTCCTTTGCTTCTAAGGGTTTTGAACTATAAGTTATGTATTTGTACCACCTCTTCTTCACCACACATTCTTCATAATGAATATGTCATTTCTCCAAGTTCCTTATCAAAGCATTTTTACCATGGGAATAAGATAAGTGGCAAAAAATATAACATCTTGACCCACGATTTTCTTTTCAATTTCAGATTTTTCGGAGGAAGAAATAAGTCAGGAGAAAAAAATTGGCAATTAATACCGTGAGAGGGAAGATAGAGGTAGATATAAAACAGTTGTAATGACAAGAAGGAGATAAGGAGATGGGCTGAGGGTTTTACTGATCACAAGATCGTCCCAGGTCTGGCTTCCCTCAAACCAACAACGCAGTATCAGGCCACTCTTGTTACAGCTCAGGAAGCCAATAAATACAAGAAAAATAAATCAGTTCAATCACAGCAAATTTACAGCATCATCTAAAAGCCAACAAAATCTATCAATAATTGATTTAAGACTTAAGTCTAAGAGCATTAAACTCCTTAGGAAGCTGGCTACAGAATCCCTATCATATGACATATTAGAAAATTTCTTCCACCCTTTTCTCAATTTGGTCTCAAAAGTACATTTTTGAAAATCATCACACTTATGTGTAGTCAAAGTCATATTGGAGTGGTTTGTGCATTAGGTAACAAACAACTGCTTATTTTAAATCAAATTATAATTTTATTATAGGACTCTGATAAAGTAAGCTTCATCAACAAAGTACAATCTATATAGCCACTACAGTTCAGTGTTTATTGGACTTCAGCGAAGGTAGGAAACATGGCTAAAACTAAATCAGCATGCTGAATACACAATCACACAATCCAGCAACATGTACATACACATTATACTGTATTTGTATTCACTCCTGCCAATATGAGTCTTAGTTGTACTTATTCCATTATTTATTACTCCTGATATAATTATCACATTTCGATTCATTACAGCTAGTCCACTTGGTTTTCACAAGTCTACCAATGTATGAAATACTTACTACATTTATTGCATGTTTTTCTTTTGTATTTAAATAGAACATTTTCATGTAAAGTAACATTGCCTCCCAGTTACGGCATGGGTACTTATAATTTATACATGTACAGGAAAAACATTGGAAAATCTCTTTAATTATTTGGAACCTGGATTTATTAGCTAGAAAGTAAATACACTAGCAATTCAGTGTCTTAATTGTTTTTCACTACAAGTATTGTGCTACCTACTACTGTTTACTAGAAAATAAAATGAGAATTGTAAAATGCCTAATTTTTAAATCTGTATACCATATATTTTTTTTAAAAGCATGCCTTAACCTTAAAAGTTTATGATAAGGAAAAGGTTAGTACTTTTACTATGTATTTTGACAATATGGCCATCATTTTGTCACATGAGGTACAAGTTTCTAACCTGGCTGTGTACGGTTTGATTGACTTTAATGACCAGATAGGTCTCTGTTCCCTGTATGAAACATAAATAGCCTATATGAAACCAATACTAAGAATAAATACCAGGGGAAATTGCCTGACATTAACCAGTTGAAACTCCACTGACATTATCTCAATTTTTAAATTTGTAACTCACAACTCTGGTGTAAGGTTTGCTGTCGTATCTATCTTCTACGTCCCTCCCCATGCAGGCACACATGCGGAAGACCGAGATCTTCTTCTTGACTTTCTTGTGCTTTTTCAGATCCATTTATCACAATTCTTTTATAAACAATAAATTTTCAATGGTAAATTTTTTATGTTCTTTTCAGCATCAGTTTGGGTATAGTACTTGGGAACACTTATAGCATCATTAATTTTGGCACGGGAACTTCCTTCTTCAAAGTGCCATTTTTCACTTGGTGTAATATTTCGAAGTCATGATGTCTCATTTCAGCATTCTACTTTTACTGTGCACACATTGCACTGATTATATCATACAATTTTTCATCTCCAGAAATTTTGGGTGAGAGCAATGTCTCTCCAAAATTAATATCAATTAGTGTTGTATTGGTCACTAAAGGACATGAATCCCCTTTAAACACCTGTACATGTATATATAAATCCAATTAACTAACACAAGTCCATCTTTTAATCTTACAAAATCACTGGTAATCCTCTAAAATCAGATTAATACATGAATGCACAAACATTTCTCCTTTTTAATGCATACAGATCTGAAGGCAGACAACTGCGACATTTTCCACGCTTGATTGACTCAATTAAACAGTATCAGGTAATGAGGGATACAGGTCAAACACTCAGCAAGCCCTGATCTAATCAGATATAGTAAAAACTCACAAATATACACAAGATTTTAGGGTTCAACATGCAGCTGATCTAGTACATCAAAGCTCACATGTAGTCAAACTCCCCTCCAAAGTTTGTTTTTACTGCAGATTACAGCATGATAAACACAATCGTGGGTCATCATTGAGATATCTGAATCAAGAGATAACTCCATCCCTGGTGAGATTACCCCAATTAAAATAACTAGCCACTGGGATATCTTTCTGCCACACATGGTTGAAGCTGAAGGCCTTCTCCATCCTACCTGTGCTAGGTGATCTGGTGTCAGGAGCCCCTCATCCTATCACTCACAACAGCTGTTACAAAGGTCCCTAGTTTTACATAAATCACAGCATTCTGTACACACAAAGTGATCTTCAAGCTAACATTTGGAGCAAAACTTATGGTTTACATATAATTTTTTTTTTTTGAAAAATGAAAGCGGACTAGTCCTAAATCTGACTTGGAGCAGGATTGAATCCCTGTATATTGATGTATTAACCCTGATACGGTACTCAGAGTCAGATAATGCTCAAGTACCTGACAGGCCACATCTTAAATGTTGCTAGGATGGATTTTTACAAATAGCTGGTCCTTGATCCAATGAAAGGGAAATTAAATAAAATGTTCTATCAAGTGATAAGATAGAGGAGAGATGGGCTGCTTCTAAGGAGAGATGTCACTGTTTATCAGGGCTCTGGACAGGGCCAGCTCTTAAGACCTTAATGACTTTCTGCTGATCAATTATCTTTCCACTTGAAGGAAAATATCAAATAGGCACTTCTACATGTACTTAATCTCACCATTTTTATAACAGACAATTTCCCACTTCTAAATTCCACGTGTATCATGCTTCTGCATCCAACTGTAATGAAACATCTAATGATTGTTACTAATTACAGAGAAATCCAATGGCGCCAAATTTCAGTTAGTACCAGGGATTCTCATTGCTCCAATTTTGAAAGAGAGAGGAAGGGAGGGAGGGAGAGGGAAAGATGTTTGACATGCAAACAACTAATTAACTAACAGTGAAGAGGGAAAAAAGGACCTTCATTAGAAAAACTAAAATGCAGTTAAAATCTTGTCTTATTCTATGAATTTTAAACAAGAGAACTGTGAGCCCTAACACTCACCATAATTAAATGACCACAATTGACAAATGAATAAGTTTTCATCCATGTACAAGCCAGAAATATTGTAAATATACTATACATATGCATGAATCTATGGCTTTCACAACAATAGTCTTCTTGTTGTAGAGACAGTATATTTCTACCTTTTTATATACTTTGAATCTGCACCATGTCCCCAATCCCCTTGGTCCTTAGGCTATTACTTTCTAAAATCAACCTTACATCTGAATGCTCTCATTTTGATGCTTTTGTTCAAGAAAGATAAAACATGGGTAATCAAACATAACCACACCTGAACAAATCTTTTCTGTAAGGCAAGGTCCCATCCTAAACTAATAATGCTAGTACATTTGTACATGTAGTCTGCATCCCTAGATGCAATGTTATGCAGTTTTAGTCTGATAAGACTTGCAGTTTCTGGGAAAAGGACTTGTTCTAAAAACTTGTCATTCCTCCACAAAATGTAGGTCAAATCCAGCATCTGAAGTCAGTTTAAGTCTTTATTTGAACAGAGGTATCTATAATGCATTGTTTGGTCTTTTATGACCATGAATGCATGTTTGTGGAAAAGAATCTTTCTGAATATTTTCTGAATGATTTCACAAGGATGGATTGTGTCAAGTTTAGTTGACATTGGTCCTGTTCAGTTCTGAAGAAGACAATGAAAATTTTAAATACTTATAATATAACAAAACCAGAAAAAATGATGGACTGATGAATATTCATCATGATGGTGTACCAAAGCTTCTTTCACATTTGACTACAAAAAGAATGGGAAATCCTCTTTTTCAAAAACAAAGTATTCTGCATCACAAAAAATCACACTGGAAATCCTCCCAAACTACTCATTTATTTTTTTTATGAAGAAATCAATTAAAGTAGCACCCTACAGCAGGTTTTAATTTAATTCTTGTGAGCTGTTTTACTTTTCCTGTAAACAATTCCTGTTTTAAAAGTTTTCATTCCTACACAGAAGTGTGTTATGTAACACATGGCAATCCTCATTTCAAAATTAGCTTTTTAGCCTGATCACAAATGAAGGGATTGACAAGGGAGATAAGACAGGGCATTTTAAGGATGCAGCACCACCAAGGGTGAAAGAAACAACAACCTAACAAATGGCCTGTCATTACTCACACATCAAATACAAAGGCAAATAGGTGTTTTGAACTTGCAGAAATAAATTTTCAGCATGACTATTTCTGCTATATCTGCCACAATGCCAATTTGTGTGGTTTACTTCTGACAAGAGCAATGCCTGCAGACAAACCATTCCTAGGTTGAAGGAGAAACTAGGAAGAGAAAAATTGGCATCTTCCCATTTGTGATTCCGACACTTGCAAGTATAAATACATCAACCAATTATTCCTCTTGTCCAATAACATTAACTTCTTTTCAGATTCAAGCAGACAAACACTTACCTCCCTTTGTCTTGTGAGTTTTTGTTGTGTAGGAGTTATCTTTCTGTATCACCTGTTCTGTAATGTGATGTAGTACTTACCAGTTTTCTATGCAGCAGGGGTTTAATTGGCAGTCTAGGTTTGTTCTCCGATCCTGGGGGGCCAGGTAATTTGCTCTGACTGACACGTTTTGGTGCTGTTAACCATTTTCTGTAAACATGGTATTTACAATATTAAACTTAAGATTTATATACATATTAAAAAAATTATTATTTGCCAAAAATTGCAAAAACGGAAAAAATATCTCAATAAATTTTCATTTCTATTCTACAACCATAATTCAGATGAATTTGAATTCACCTGTTATAAAGAAGCAAAAGCTCTGACTTGTAAGACATTTGAAGAATATCTATTACTTCTCAATAAATCTACCAGATGTGTATCTCTCAAGATATACTGTGATGTATAAATTTCATTGCCAATCAATACTGATAGACTCACTTGAAGCTGGCCGCCCGTCGTTTTGGAATAGGGGAGGTACTAGTGGTCGATCCCTCCATATCTACAATTATCCACAATAATAAAATCTCAATTCATCCATAACTCAGTTGCAGCCATATCTATAAAGGCACTATGGTGTTATCAAAGGACAAAAATAAAACTATATCTCACTTACCAAGACATAAATCTTTCTATTAATAAATATACAGACTAGTTTACGGTGATGAGGGTCATGTTTTTCACACACCTCTTTAAGATTCAGAAAAGCTTCCCTGTATGTTAACTGTTAATGTCAATTTTCAAAATATATGATAAAGACTAGAAGTAAAACCCTGAATTTGTTTTTTGGAATCTGAAATTGTAATAAAAATTTCAGTGAAAACATTAAGACAGCAGTGTAGATTTAATATATAGGAAAACTCAGGCTATCCTAAATACCCCAGCACCTTAATAAAAATTCCTTCCCATGTACCTTCTTGTACCTTCTTTTTTAGATCTAATTGTTTACAAGTTTTTTTTCTAATAGAATCAAATCAAACGATGGGAACATTTCTGATTTAAAGCACACATTAGGTAGATGTTATTACAGATATCTATAAAAAGATCAAACAGATTCAGATCCTATCTAGCTTTCAGTCAAAAGACAGAATTTTTTAAAATGTTATGAAATTAAAGTAATTACCAATAAATTTGAATGAGGTGGGTCAGAGAGAAAGAAATTCATCTATGTGTGTAAGACTTAATATTCATCATGACGGGTCTGTATTCCTCAGTGGAATTAACAATTCTTGTATTGCAATAATGCTACTAAAATTGTTCCATCTGTCAAAACAGTCATATTCTATAGTTTTACCCTCTTCTCCCATACTGTCGCGATTTCCTTGTTGTTTGAGGGCAGGTATGGGTTTCAGGGAGGAGATGGGCACCAGTCCCTCTGCTGGTTCCCCGTCCTCCATGTTCAGCACTCTCACGAGGCACCAGTTAGGCTCCCCTTTTGGTGCTGGGTCCAGGATTTCTACATGCTGACCCTTAGTCACTGTCACCTCAGAGTTGTTACCAGCAGAGTAATCCTCCAGAACTATGGTCACATCACCCTGGAAGGAAAAAAATATCAGTACTGTTCTCTTCATTTATTTGTTTCATTACAAATATTAGCTACAGATTTTAACATTTGTTAACTTCAGATTCATGGTTTCACATGAGTCATGACATATTATTATGCTTATATCCAAGTCTGAAGGCAGGGCTTTCTGTAATGGAAAAAAAAATTCTTTAAAACTGTGTGTGAAATTGATAGCTATTTTCTGTAATCCCATTGGTATGTACATGAATATATAAAAAAACATATTCCATAGACTCCTGTAGCAAGTTTTATTTCTTGCTTAGGGTAAAAAGTTAAGGATAAAAGACAGTTGATTACAGCTAGTTCTCCGTTGTTCATTATATTGTTGATCTTTTTACTACTTTAGCAATTACAGTCAAATCTCATTATCTCAAACTCAATGAGATGAAACCTTAATGAGATATCAGCTGCTTTGAGATATATAGAAGATAAATTCATAAAGTGATTGGGACTCAAATATCCATGGTATTTGAGATACTGATCATAATTCAACAGCAATAATTAAATCCTTGAATTTAAATGACAAACTTCTTGTTTTTATCCTAAATTATATGAGGGAAATATTTTGATAGGTATCAAGAGTTTACATGAATATTCAAGTATATATAGACTCATTCTCCTCAAGGTCTGAAAAATTAATGACTAATAAGGAATGTAGGGTTATTTTAGTAATGGCCACAGTTTCAATTCTGAAAGTTCACTGTATTTATATGACACTGAAGAAAAACAAACAAATAAAACAAAAAAAGCGCTACTTACAAATTCAAAGAATATGATAGATTATTGAATTTTCTTTATCAGGTGTAATAAATAATATTATGAATTATTTATGGCCTTCAATTAAGGAGAAGCTGTTCCATTGTGCTATGGCTTTTGTTCAGCTAAAGTCTTCAGTTAGTTTGAAATCTATCATTCTTCTTCAATTAGTGACTATAATAATGATGGTTTTGTCTGTCAATTTTGTGTTTAAATCTGTTAAAATATTGGACTTTAATTACATGCACTTTCAAACACACTCTTTTCTCAACACTTCAGATCCCTGTATTTCATTTGAAAAATATAATCTGGTGATGCAAGCTTTTTCCATTAGACAGAAAAAATCTTTTATTATATAATAAGCATTTCTTTTATATCCATTGTCTTACTTACCGGGTACACTATAAAGTTCATACAGAAATACATACTTTTGTTTATATAAACTTAAGTTTTTTGATGTAAAAGCTTAGAGACACAAAGTAAAAAAAAAGTGTAGCACGAAACTCTGAAGATCCATTGATTAAGGCCTTCTGGTCTTACATAACTGGTTTTATTCACAGCTTAACATTCTGTTATTGTCATCAGAATAAAGTAACTCAGATTATGTAGTAAATCCATTCAGAAACCAATAAAGATTCAGTAAAGTATTATCATCTCTGACATGTAGCTTTTTAAGGGTGGATGTGTTTGTTTTGTCTGTGTGTTTGTATGTGTGTGCTTGTGTTTTTTTGCGATTTTAACTACTTTAATCTGAGGATATTTTTATCTACCTTTAATTATTTAATATCTCTGATATAAATGTATAATGTAGATCACTATATTTATATGACACGTACTTATTTACATGAGATATAGTTATCTGTTATTAACATGATTAATACCGTAAGGAAGACAAAATGTGAGCTGAGGTTATTGTGATATAATCCTTTTAGTACATTGAAAATTATGATACGCAAATGGAAATGTTTGCAAGCTGATGGACTCGCATAATTAATGTTTTACAGTACCTCATATACAAGCGTGTATATCTTTGAACACACAGTTTCACTTCAGATAGCTCAATATTATTGAGTATATGATAATATGTACATAACAATTTTTTAACTGTAACAATAGCAGTGGGTTCCATTAATTGATTCCAGATACATTAAGCACACAAAATGTTACCATATATAATTTTTTAAATGTAATATTTTATTTTCAACTGATATGACTTGCAAAAACGGAAAAATAAATAAAATTTATTGAATTTATCAACATTTTTCGTAATTGTTGTCTGAGGCAAACATTAACTGACCTTTTTTATTTTAGCATGTTTCCAATGGGCAATTCGAACAAGCATCATTCCAATATACTGAAACGCCATGTTACCAGCAAATCACAGAGAATTTCCTGGATGCTATTTTATTTTACTTCAAGGGCAGATTTTATGCTCCAAGATAATTCATGGAATTATTGTAGATATCAGTTCATATAGAGACTCACTCTATACGCACCACATTCCAGGCCAATATAAATGTCAGAACGTATATTTATACCAAAATACTTCAATAATAATGAGGAAACAAATATCTCCACACTTCCCAGCTTCTGTTTAATTTTTGTGTAGATCTGAGAGTGTCCGTACGCGAGGTCCCTCCACCGGAATGAAGAATGCAACCGAGACTTTATACAGCTGACCGGTCAGTAGACGTCCAATCTAACAGAGATGTCTGTCTGCTGCCTAATCCAACTTTCGCACAGTTGATAATCCTTGACAATATGCCTGTACCAAGTCAAATAATCACCACAAGAGAATTTCCGTAATGAAAAAGACAAACAGACACATAATCCATTTTATACAAAATGTCAGGTGGTATAAGTACCGAAATCTCCCTTCACACAAACCATTAGTCTATGAAAAATACGAGACAAATCCTAATGAATTTTCCAAAGATATCAAAGCTTGCTTAAAGCAGTGTCAAGACAAAGCTTTCCACCGAAAAAAAAAAATCCACCATACTTGACTTGTATATTTCCGACAGTAATATCTTAAACATCCATAACTACCTGATCACTGTAACACTCAGCTAATGTACAGAGAAGTCATACATATCAAAAGGTAACACATGTTTTCTCAGAAGGTCAGCAGTACTCAATCCTCAATCGGCTGTTTTTCTCTCTCCCCCATTCTGGCAGGGTAAAAACTGTTTTTCCTTATGTTAGAAAAATCAGCATAAAATCAAATAAGCTTGTGTTTCCCCAAGGTTTTGATAATATACTCAGGTATATGAATATGCTGCGTCAAGGTTCTTAATATGAAAAAAATTAGCTGGAGGTCTCAGCTAAGATACGCATTGATTTCATCCCCATATGGACTATATAGACGCTGTCACTGTACTGTTGTATTGGATCATATTGACAAACAATAACGTCATCTACCGAATGGTTGACGTCAAAAATTTTCTACTTGCTTTCAGTTTTTTTCTCACATTTTTTCTCTTCATACACATACACAAACAAAAGCTGACATAACTCTCAGCAAGAATAGCTCAATGTCTCCGATGTAGCGGCAGAAAAAATAAATCTCGGCAAAAGCAAATATTGAATTTGTGCAAATGATGCCCCAATTGGAGGTGAAATATCACTTTACTCTTGGGGACATCTGATTAGTGCAGTATTGTTGTAATCAATACAAACATAAGCTTGCATTTAGGGACAATTCTTCACCATTTCCCAAGATGGAAAACAAGAATTGCAGAATTTGCATATCTTAAATCAGGTATTCATGATGCCAGCCAAGAGTAAATTGTCGATATGATGAAAAAGTGGGAAGTAATCTCCACTGAGAAATGGTACCTTTCTCGTTTGTAAAGTGTGTTAAAAAATATATATATTTAAAGAGTACTAAACAAAATATGATTGACGTATGGGATATTGATTTTTCCCTCTTATCTGTACAAAATCGAAAAATTGTAAAAATAAGCTTAAAGATCTAAACATTCAAATACTGTAGAAGTACTTTTTTCCGCGTGGTATTATTTTACGCTATGTACGCGGTCTCAAATTTTCCGCGGATATTTGTCCAAGCGTACTTAATTCAAATGTAAGGCATATAGTGACAGTCTAAGAAATCCGCGTAATTTTCTACATTCAAAATTGAGATTCATCAAAAAAAGTGTTTTATGAAGCAATATTCATTATTCAATAATTTACACAAACAAAGATCCTGAGTTTACCATTATAGTAATATAGGAGATAATCTGCTGCTGTCATATGCCATTCATCATGAAGTACACACCTATCCTCTAAACTTTCAAGTGTATATGGTCGTATTGCTTTTTGTGATGTGGTGGGAGGAGGAGGGATAATTTCGTTACATGACAAGCAATGTTCAGCTTGGTGTATTGGGTAAATGGCGCCTCGCAGTTGGACAACCAAATCTAAAAAACCTGTTACATCCTCTCTAAAATCATTGTTACTACACTTATGTAATGCGATGTCAGTTTTGCATCAGGGAATTTACACATGGAAATGATATCAGGTTTGGTTTTCAGTCAGCTGGGTTTTTTTTCTCCATTCAACTTAAAAGAGGCATGCTACAACAAAGTTTTATTTGATGGATCCTTTAGACATCTCTTCTGAAACCATGGTTTCAGCATGAAAATTTTGACATAAGCTCTTATAATCATTTCGAATGGTTTATTTTTGTAGAAATTGTAAAAACTGTTTTATTTGCAAATAAGACCATTTTCTTGTTTAAAATTTGCTGCTAATAAATGCGCAATACAATCCCTTGTTCAAAAGTTTTTTTTTTTTTTTTTTCAATTTATGTGCATTTCTTTATGAGACTACCTCTAAACTGAAAGCTGTATTTCTATTTCATGGTAATTTGAAATGAACTATTTATATCAAACTTAAATGCATCTGCATATAGATAGATAAGCTTTGGAATCAGGAAGAACAAAGGCTTCCAAAACACATAGTTATATTTAAAGTGTTAAAGAGATAATAAAATAACACACGAAATTCCTGACAAATTCCAAAGTCTAACCACTTGCTCTCATACAGTTTTCTATTACATGTATATACATAAAAAACTTGGTAAATGTATTAACTGTGTGAACTATGCACATAAATAAACACTGACTGATATAATCTGTTGATAGAGTAACAAACCTGGACACCTACTGAACAAGGCAGAGAAAACAACATAATTTTTCATGTAATTCTCTACCCCTCTGTCAAAGTTAAACAAAATCATTATTTTTCCTCTCCACAAGATACAGTTATTGTGTCTAACAGACAGACTTAGTCATCTCTAAGGGTACAGAGCTTGGTATATCATCACAAGTCAGGTATACCTCAGAATGCCTCGTCAAGGGTTCAAATGTAATGCAACAGGAATATTTATATATAACTGTATGAAGTTTGATGAAGATACCTTGAAAAGTGAGTTTAATACACAATAAAAAGTCAAGTCGAAGGTCAATGTGGAAAGGTCAAGAAAAAAAATAGACATAGATTATATTTACATCAAATAATGTATCAGTGCATAAGCTTACATAAAATCTATATATAAAACAGTTTATTTGAGCTAAGGTCTGGCCAAGGTCAAAGGAGAGGTCAAAGTAAAAATAACTTTTGATGAAGTTAAATAGTTTTTCTCAATATGAAGCAACATATGAAGTTTAATAAAAATATCTTGATGTGGTTCTTCAAAACTAAGCTAAAAAATGTGACAAAGTAAGGTCAAGGCAATAGCATAAGTCAAGGTTAAAATATATTGAGTAATTTCTTTGAACCTGGGGTAAATGCAGTAATAAAATGGGATGGAAGGACAGGAGGACAGAAGGATGGGAAACAGATGTGTCAAACACTTAATTCCCCTGACAAATTCAGGGGGATAAAAATTTTGATGGTGTACATCTCTCCCTCTCCATTAAAAAATTCAGTACTAATATTGAATATGATGTTTGTATTCAAAGAGTTTCCCTATGCACTACACAACAGAACTATTGGCAATATAGAAGCTTCAAACAGCTTCCTGACCTTTGCTTTAATAATTCTACACAGAAAAAAAACTTTCTTGTAAGCAGTAGATGAATGTAACAAGAAACGAGCTTGGCAGATATGAGATCATAAAGTCTGACCATTCTTTCACACTCATCCAAACCCTCCAAAAAATTTTTTGTAAATAACGAAGTAATAAAAACTATTAATGTCCCCACATGTTTCTACATCTGGAATATCTTTGTGATTTTTTCCTTTATGTCTTAGGGTACTTCAGAAGAACTGAAACACTTGAAAATGCAACTGTTAAACTAAAATATTGGTTGTTCCACCTATGACTTAGAAAGAACTAAAAAAATATATAAATTATAAATACCAAGTTCCAATACTACAGGGTAATTACTTTATAAGAACAATAGAATTTGAAAACTCCCCCAAAATTATTTGAATTCTTTTAAGTACATATGGAAACCCGGCAGTTTTCCTCCATTTGTCAACTTTCCAATACATTCTCTGCCAAATTAACTAAACAACCCAAGCCATAATGGAGACAGGATTTTGATCTTTTCATTTGGTTTTTGGCAGGACCATCATTACATCAATCAAAGACATTGCTGAACGCTAGCCTGGTCTTCTAAGCTGTCGATTTTGTTAGAACCCCCCTGCCCTGTATTCTGGGCTTGTAAGTAATGATCAGTTTTTGTTTTTGCCGATTTCTGAACACTGTCTTATGATCTCGCTTCCTTTTTCTTACCGATATAATCAACATCCTATTAAATACGGGAGGAATCTTCTTGCATAAATGACTGTGATTTTGCCCAGATCCCAACAAATTACTAAACATACAGAATGTAGATGGCTTAATTTACGGCTGGCATAGCAGAAGCTTTTACACCTCCCTTCTCCAGCACAGTTTGTTTGGAAATAAACCAAGGCTGAGGAGATTGTCTGATGAAAAAATACCAAATAAATTAAATTCCCTTGCTATAAAACATTCCCATCAAAATGCAGTGGCTTTCCAATATTTCATTACTTCATAATTTATTTCTATGGCACTTGATTTTTACAAAATGTTTCAACGACAAGTTCAAATAAAATGTGCCAACATAAAGTGCTTTTAGTACAGTACTGAAGAATTTTTCTTTACTTGCTTGCAGAAATAATGAAGCATCCATGGAGGTAAAATTATTAAATGATAGAAATTAATGGGGATGTATGATGCATGATGTATTTATTATGAAGAAATGAAAAGGGAAATATCTACTGAATTTATCAGTATCATATCCCCAACCTTTCCCCATGCAATGCATCCATTTTCCCTCAAAAAATAATGTCTGTTAAAATCTGCTACTTGTTTTATCACATGTAACCAGCGAAGAACTTTACATGAGTCACTAAAGAGCATATCAGCTTCTAATGCTCACCAAGAATTAGCTATATTAAAATACATGTAATAAGAATATGTTCGTAGGGCACAAACACCCCATCCAGGGGAAATTTGTAATGCAGCATGGAATGTTCCATAAGACACCTTTGGTGTCAGATATAATAAAACAAGGAATAATTTTTACATTTTTGATATACAGAACTGACCTTTTTAGTGCAAACATTTTTTTTTGTAGCAAAAAAAGGAAAATAAATGCAAAATGAGAAATAAAAAGATAAAGGTCATAAGAAAGGTCAAGGTCGAAAAAAAACAGTTGACAATTTCTAAATATATATTAGTCTTTGTCTTGATAAAAAATATCTTTACAGTATGTTACTGAATGCAAAAGGAGGAATAGTGAAGTCAAAGTCATATGGAAGATTATTTCGGAAAATCTACAGTCGAATGTATTTCACCTATAAGGGTCAAAATCTGACTTTTGATAAAAATCTTTTTAACAGTTCCTTATATGGATACTGAGCTGAATGCAAAGTTTGACAGATGGATAAATGGAAAGGCTGAAGGTTTAAACATGACTGGAAAAAAGCATTGTAGGCACAGACCATATTCCTGCTGTGGCAAATTAATTCTGAGAGTTTTATATATCAAAGGCTTTCCAGGAAATCTCAAGCAGAGCTGTTCATCACATACAATGCATGTGTTATATTGGGAAATTAACAGATAGACATCAAAAACTACATGCGAGATTTTTGCTTCAACTATAAGGATATACCGGTGCACTTGACACTTGTGTTATCAGGAAGATTTATATTACAAGCTTAATTTTTCAAGAAGCATGTAACATCAGAACCTGAGATTTTCTGATTTTTTGATGTGCCAGATAAGAGCTGCATCACATCAAAATAAGTGCCACCTTTTATTCCATCTAGTTATCAAGATCAAAGGTGATTCCCATCAAGTTATGCCCACTTCATATAATCTTATATTCTCTTGTAATTGTATTGAATTATGTATTCATTTTACTGTCTCTGATCTAATAAAGCGGTGAGCGGTTCATAGACCCTGACAGATAAAAGTCAAGGGAGGTAACTCTAAAATAATTCATAGGAAACGTAATGAGCCTAAAAACTCTTTACATCTTTTAATGAACTGGTGAATTCACTGGAAAAAAATTTCTCCGGATTCATAGTTTGTTACAATGGTTACTTACAAACAGGATAATGATTACTTATAAAGTGAATAATGACTCTTTCACAACTTCTGCATAGTTTCCTATACATAACTGTTCTCTCCTCCCAAAGACTTAGCTCTTCTCTCTATCCATTTTCGGGTAGACTTTACTTTACCGGTCCCCAGATCCGCAAGATCCTCGCGCTCATTGGACTATGACGTAACAACTACGTCATTCAACCGAAATGGGTTAAATTTGCACACTATTCGACTGATTAGGGTTAGTCGTGCACCCACCTGAGAGATTAGGGTTAGTCCTTGCACTAGTATTCGACTGATTTTGGTAAGTCTCGCGTCCATCCGAGAGATAAGGGTGAGTCCTCGCACATTATTCGACTGATTAGGGTTAGTTTAGCAACTGTCCGGGAGATTTCGTCTGAACGTCTTAGTCCTTGCATACCATCCGATGGATTAGGGTTAGTGAATCCTTCTTTTAGTTAAGTCAAGAAATTCAGTCGTTTCTGTAATTTTTCCAAGATCATAATTCAGATTCATAGGCATTTCCTTCGTTTGTTTACATGGAAGATTAACTAAGTCCGAAAGAAATGACACTAAGCATGTGCTGCATGGGCTTCATTCAGAATTATTCTTTGTCGATTTTTTTTCCATGAATAAACAATATTTATTCATTTTTTAATTTAAGAGAACGAGGTTTAAAAATGAAGTTTTAAACTAAACTTTTAACCGTTGAATTCGATTTTTGGGTCAAAAGGCCAAAAAAACTCGTATTTAAAATTTTTTTCCATCGCACACGCGATCTCATATATACTGAAGTCGCCTTCGGCGACACTACATTTTAGCGCGTTTTTCTGGGGACCGGTAAAGTAAAGTCATTCCCCATTTTCCTCTGTGTATTAATGACAGTGTTCTTTCCTTCCTCTGATTTGGCTTTTCTCTCTATCCATACTTACTCTATCCTTACCATCCCTGACCTAAATTTTCTCCCTATTCATCTTTTACTAAGTTTTCTTTCTGTCTTTTTTTCTCTTTTTCTCTTCTTTCCAACTGACCTACTTTATCAGTTTTTTACTTCCTTCTGTTACATTTTTTTCTCTTTCTCCCTGACTTACCCTAGCAGTTTCTCCTCCACTACTGCTGCTGTCTGTTGTCATGGTGGTTGTCATGGAGATCATCGAGGTTAGAGATCCTCTTCTCTCGATCGGTAGAGAGTCATCAAAGGACACGTCTTCTATATCCCTAAATAATATATTACACAGGTTTAAACACTATATACTGTAGTACTCAGTGTTCTTGAGACCAATCCACATTTTCATAATCTATATTGTACAAACACGAGGCCCTCGGGCCTTATAGGTCACCTGAGTATCATGTAACAACTTTCCAGCAATTGAATTTGGTTAGTGTTTTAAACCAAAAGCCATGAAATTCACAATTTTGAAAGAGGCACAATTGTTTATCATAATCATACACTTAGCATGCTTTCTTTGGTTACTTTATACCGAGAGGTAGAGCAGAGTATCAAAGAGAAGATACTTACCAACAACCCCCCCCCCATACCCCTGACCCAGGGGCCTTGAAATTGACCATTTTGGACATCATAAATATTTACACAGATCATCGCCATAATACCCAGGAGCAATGGAAAAGATTTTCAAAGAATTCGTGCATTTTCACTATATAATCATTAAAGCCCCATCCTAACACCAGAACATCTGACCCAGGGGCCATGAAAATCACAATTTGGGAAGAAACATCCTTCCTCATCATAACTATTTGCTTTGTTTATTGGTTTAATACCCAGGAGCAGAAGACAAGGTTTTTAAAGTATTTATGCATTTTCACTATATAATCAATAGTGCCTGTCATAACACCAGAACCCCTGAACCTGCAGAGCTGCCAACATTCTGAAATGAAAAATAGTAAGGCATGGTCCGGGGACCGCCCCAGCCCCCTGCCGCTGAAGATGTTTTGTAAATGGACATGCAATCGGATTTGAGGCACAATTTTGACATGAATGCGATCGGCCATCTAAAATCGAAACGACGATACAAGCAACCAATGTATTTAATTATAATAGTAGAAACTGCAACATTATGACCATTATAAACTTTGAAGGAGAAAAACTGAAATCATAGAGAGAAATAAGGCGTATTTTGGATGCTAATTTTAAGACTTACGCCAAAATCGTAAGGGTTGGCAGCTCTGAACCTGGGGTCATGAAATTCACAATTTTGGAAGAGGCAGTCTTATTCAACATAACCATGTACATGTACTTGGTAAGTTTATTCAATATCCAGGAGCAGAGAAGAAGATTTATTAAGAATTAATGTATTTTCACTATATACTAGTAATCAATAGAGCCCCACTCTAACACCAGAACCCCTGACTCTGGAGCCAGAAAATTCACAATTTTGAAAGAGGCATTCTCGCTCATTATAACTATGTATTTAGTAAGTTTGCTTATCCAGAAGCAGAGAGGAAGATTTTTAAAGAATTAATGTATTTTCACTATATAACCAATAGAGCCCTGCCCTATCACCAGAACCCCCAACCCTGTGGCCATGAAATTCACAATTTTCGAAGGGACATTCTTGCTCATTATGACTTTGTACTTATTAGTTTATTCAATGCCCAAGAGCAGAGAAGATTTTCAAAGAAATAATGCATTTTCACTGTATAATCTATTTAGCCCCGCCCTAGCACTAGAACCCCGACCCTGGGGCCATGAATTTCGAAATTTTGATAGAGGACTCAATGGTGATTACAATCATGCCAACAGTTTGACTGCTTGATGTCCAAGTGTAAAAAAGAAGATTTTTAAACATTGCATTAATTTTAGTGGTTATGGCCTCACCCCTCAGGCCCCAGGAGGGCAGGGACCATGAAATTCACAAATTTTGTTCGGTGTGTTCCCATTTCGCCTTAACTAAGAAATTCAGGTAAGAAAAGGATTAAGAGTACTAAGGCGAAATGGGAATTTTAAAAATTTGTACGTATTATTACTGGGTTGATATAAAAATTTAAATGATAAAACTTTTTAGAATGAATTTAACAATTAATGGGGATTTATGAATACTGTAAATCACTTTTTATTCGTGAGAACTTTATTTTCGCGTAATTACGCGAGACAGTGTGCTCGCGAAAAATAAGATCTTGCGTATAATAGTATTCCTTAAGATTATATAAAGCAATAATCACAATTCGTGAAAATTTTGTCTCGCTTATCAAGAGTCAATGACTATCTCGCGAAAATAAGGTGTCGCGAAAATTTAGTGATCTACAGTACTGTGAATGAAATAATATGTGTAATACCAAAAAATACTTTATGCTAGATATATTAAATCTTCATCACCTTAATTCACCTGAGAGCTTTCTAAGGCAAAATGGGAATGCTAAATTTTACAGTTAAGGCGAGATGGGAACAAACCATTTTGTTCCCCTTCACCCATAGGTGCTTTGTGCCAAAATTGGTTGAAATTGGTTGAGCGGTACTCTGAAAACATGAAAATAAAACATTCTGCCTCACCTCTTTGGGAAAGCAAGAAGCTGTGCCTTGGTGGCCTGGAGTGGCTTGATGGTGGTGGGTTTGAACAGCATGGCCGGCTTATCCTTCAAAGCCTTGGGTATATACTGCATTCTCTCCGTCATCAACTCACGGACTTTCTTGACCCAGTTCTGTTTGGTATCTAGGTCTTTGGCTTTAAGGATAATTCTGTAGTCTGAGATAGGCACTCTCCCAGTCCACAGGGCAAACTTGGTCTCATCCCCTTCTATATGTTCTGTGATGTTTATATCTGATATCTGAAACACAGATTTTTTTAAATATAAAAGATTGTACATGTAAGGGTGGTTATCATATTTTACATAATCAATGAATATGCATCATAGCTACTGGCATTTGACAACTGAAACATGTTATTAAATTTGAAAATATATCTACTCAAAAAAAAAAAAAGAAACAAAGCAAATCTTGAATAAATTGAATCATTGTTTTTCTAAAATTTAGGGATGTTAAATGTATGTTAAATGAAATCTTTCCTTGTTCATAGCATTAATATATTTCCACAAAAGCAATTAAAGAATTATGAAAAGCAAGAAAGATGCCCCAACTTACCATAAGCCTGAACTTGTACTGATATTTAGCCTTGCCATTGCTGTCCTTCATCTCTTTGGACAAAATGACACACATGTCAAACAGGAAGAGGTGGCGGTCCCTCCCCTTCTTGATCAGCTGTTTGGGGTCCCACACAGTGAACTGATCCTGGAGGAAAACATCCCCCAGGGCCTCAGGTTTCTCCTCCAGTCCCTCTAGGAGACTCAGATGCATGGCATCATTTGCCCTCTTAGGAACATTCATCATGACCTCTAACCCATCCTGTTGTAATACAGTTAAAATGTTACAGGATTTAAAAACACATTATAAACACGGTTTTGTTTATAGAGTAGTAAAGTACTGATGATAAATGATTTTCCTTGCAAAATAATGAAACGCTATTAATATGGTGATGACGGAAATTTCAGTATTGTACAATGATAACAGTCAAAATTACATGAAAATGAGAACATGAAATCAAATGATAATCATTTTTTTTGGCTTTAGAACATGATTAATAATGATAATCAGAAATTAAACGTTAAAAATAGTATGAAATATGTCTTAATTGTCAGTTTCAATCTCAATCCTTTCCATCCATTTTACATCGAGGTAAGGTTTTCTTTCATTTGTTTTTTAACTACCACTTAACACTTTTTTTGCCTAAAGTTGCACAATTCAAAACTAACTTTAATTTAGCAATCAAAACCAAAATGACTTTAAGAGAAAGGATCTAAAAACCAATAAACCAAATCTAACACTTTGCCAGTCACAGGAAATAAAACAATGTATACTTATGAAATTAAAGAACATCTTAATGCAATCCATGCAATTTGAAATTGGTTAGGCAATGAAATTTTGTTAGTGATGAGAAAATCAGCATGCCAGTGAGTGTACCATAGGGAAAATTTATGATGAGTCCTATTCCAATGGGGACCTGTTTGTAAATGTTATAAATGACATGTCAAGTCAGTGAGATTTTAGATATACAATGTGATATTTTTTTTATGAATGATTACATGTATATTTTACACTGAATCAGGTTCCAGAAATTTGATAATGAAAAACACATTATCTTTTTTTTATTAAAATTACATGTGTATTTACATTTCATGAAAATTCTTCACAGCCTACTCTTGCCCCCCCCCCCTCCCCTCACCACTCCAATTACCTTTTTAGGGGTATTTTTCCTTTCTGTCTACATTTTTCTTATAACCTGGGTATTTCTCTTTAATTTTCTAAAGAAAATAATTTAAACAGCTAGCACATATACACAGCAGGTGATTTCCACCGTGCATTGTTCATTTTTTCTTGAATTTGTAGAATGAACAAAAATATTATATTTAATGCCTTTGAAGGATCAAACTGCAAAACTCTCAAACCATACAAATTTTATATATGGTATTAATGAATTATCAAAAAAAATTGTCTGAGTTTTTCAATATTTGTTCCCTCCTGTACACTGATAAAGTAACACAATTATGGAGTTGGTCTGGAAGAATTTTCAATCTATAACTGTTCAGAATACCCCGAGAAGCCATGTACTGCTTACCAAGAGTTCATAGTACCTCAGTGAGTCTTTTGTCTTGATGGCTTTTCTTAAACTATTGTAAGAGTTCTACAATTCATATTAGTACAGGCATAAAATGCATTAATCCAACAGAACAAAAAAATTCTACATCATGCAGGACTTTTTCCTTTTTTTTTAATTCCTAATCTAAATGGAATCAGGTGTACTCAAATTTGTTTATGCAGGGTCTTGGAAATTGTGGGATGGCTTGGATTTGGGTTTAGGAAAAATGTAAAATATTTTCTACCTGGACATCTTCTCATCTGTCTACCAAAGAATCTGATTGCTACATAAATTTAAGTTAGAGCTTTTTCAGACATTTAAATTCTTTAAATTTCATATGACTTTGTAGGAAATCAACAAATTCAGGGTGTATGCATTTGTACTATACATGCATGTACATAAAAGAGGACTAGAAGTTTCATATTTTGAAAGTGAGTGGACATTCTGAAATCTTGGAATATATAGGAGAGTCTTGCATGATGTACTTGCAAATTAACAAAACAAGAAAACCTATAAAAAAAAATGCATTATTTTCAAATTACATAAAACTTGCAAATTGCTAAACAAAAAGTACAAATGCTACTGAGTTTTTCAGTAAAATAAAATACAAGGAAAAAAAGTAAAGCCATGCAATCATAATCAATCATAATTCAAAAGCTGCAACCCTAAGGAGCCCCAAACCTTGATTTCCCCATTGTGCCCCTCACAACAGGAAAGCAGATCTTTGAGCAGCAGTTGATACTTGGTGATTCTCTGTACAGGTTTGATCAGGTAAGATGCTAGGGGCTCATTCAGCTTGTGTTTGGCCTGGACCTCCTAAAATTACATTTAAAAAAATCTACCAGTAATGTCAACAAATATTTCAAATAAATTCATCACAACTTTCCACTATCAAACAGAGAAAATGTCCTGACAGAATAACGAGTTTATCCAAGATTTAATTAAATGCATACAAAGAAGTATGTTTAATAATATATAGTCCAAATAACAACTGCATGAAAGTGTGAACTACGCACAAAAATAAATTTCTACTTAGCTGTTAGCATAATCAATGATAAATCATACCCATTAAGTAATTGATTTGTGAACTTATATTCTGAAATTTTCAATTTCTAGCTGCTTTAAATAAGTTAAAGCAGTTTTCAGTTCAAAAGTATATTTATTGATACAAACACTGTAGTTGAAAAGATACTAGAGCTATTGAAAGTTAGATCAAATGCAGAAAAAATGGGTTATATCCCTTTACCTCAAAAAATGAGCCAGCATGTTCCACCAGCAGTTGATTTGAGTCTGGTTTGTTTCTACAGTACGTCACATAAATAGAGAACTTCTCAGCCTGTACACAAAAGATTTTATAAATGTTATTAAAAAAATTATTACATTCTATCTTTACAATGTACCAGAAAAATACATTTCTTTGTTTGGAAATCTTCTGTAAATCTGAGAAAAATTTTGTAAGGATATTTTCACACCAACATACCCAAGTGACAAAACAATGGCCAACATCTTCAGGAATAGTCTCATATTTCTCCAATTCTTTCAAAAATATACTGAAATAAAATAAAACACATACCAAAATTACATTTTTACTACAGATATTTAGTAAATACACTAATTAACAAAACATATTTCTTCTTTTTACTTTTTTTTTATATACTCACTTTTTATGGAAGTCATAAATTTCTTCCAAGTTACAGAAAATGATTTTATGTTTGCCGTATATACCAAGTGGGACATTATTATCTGGCTCCATAGCTTCACTCAGGTATGTCTGGAATATAAAACAAAATAATATATCTGACATGCCATTCACAATTTGAAATTTGTTTCTGTTGCTGCAATTAATTTTGTTATAAGTTTTTACTTTTAAAAATCGGTCGCCTGTGATAAAAAACTTTCTACTTTCCATACCTTGATGCAAACTTCTAAATCTTTAACATATGTTCTCTCAGTTTGTAAAAGTTCAGCCATCACAAACCTAAAACATAAAAATTAATAAATGCACAAAAATGACTGACATGGACAATTACGCAAACTTATCATTTCAAATCACAAGCCATGACTAAGACCCTGTGCTGTCTGATAATGTATTACAGGAAACCAGGGGAATGTCAAGATCATTCATTTTCTAAAATAATAAAAATCACCTTTCTTTCTCTTTTTTTCCTAGTTTAAAACCTTTTTTAATTGTAATATACAGTGTTGTACACTCACTCCCTCTTCCTGGCAGATCGGCGTTTCTCCTCTGTCAGTTCCTTGGGGGCCTGATTCAGGACCTTATCCTCCAGGGAGGAATCACTGTGTCTCTGCTCCTCTTTCTCTTTAGGTTCCTATAATACACACAGTACTCACTATCTACCACTCAGATATAGTACATATACTTTATGACATTTCACAGAAATTTATCTTTACTTCAGTATGTCTTAACTTACAACAAAAATGTTATGAAATTTCTGTTACATTTGTATCAGTATTCATGCTTTAAGCAAAAATAATTTTTACACCATGGACGAGTCAATATATTGTATGTTTTTTCAATTTATATCAGTTTGGCCACCATAACTACTATAAATACATTTTGATTGGTTACTTACAGGCACCTGTTCTTGGACTCCCAGCTTGGACTCTAACTTGTGTCTATATTTGTCCATGCGTGAGGAGAAGTCCTTGTACCGCTTGTCCACTGCATTACACCATTGTCTGATGCTAGCTGCATGTAAATTACCCTTAGCTACAAATCCATCAGCAAGCTGGAGAAGTAAATTAACACTTTCTTTTGTCTCCTGAAAGAGAAAAAAAATAATGTTGAAAAAAATTGAAAGATAAATAGATGAAAACCATTTTATCAAGAAAATTCTTTAGCCCTTTCAGCTTGGCTGATCCAGAAAAGACTTTCTGTTTGGTGCTGAACATCATATTCCCCCCTTTTATGATACCTTCATATATACAATGTATTTTGAGTATATGTATTATAATAAGCACAGAATCTCATTTAACAAAAGGCTACATGATATACCTTGGCTCTGCTCCGGAACTCGTAGTGTTCTTTCAGTAAAGCTTCTGTCTCTTGTTGGTTGGAGCCCAGAGTTTTGTGACTGTCTAGGTAAGATTCTCCATAGTCACATATCCAATCTATAGCCTTGTAACAAAATAGTTACAAATTAAATCATAGTCACAGATCCAATCTATGGCCTTGTAAAGAAAATTATAACAAGTTATATCACTGTTAAGATATTTTTAAAAATATTTATCAGGAAATAAGAAAAAAAACAATGCAATTTATCACATTTCAATTAAAAATAATTTTTTTTCTATCCGAATTCCACAAATTCTAAACCAGGGAAGTATTAAGAAGCATTATCTCCCTTCCATCATATTAAATATCTCTATACTACTGAACAGAGACAAACATATAGAATAAAGGTACCTGTCTAGCGCTCTGTTCAAACAGGACATACTGATGACACTGCTCTAACTTCCTCTTCTTCACAGTCCAGTTCTCTATCACATGATTCTCCTGGTGAAGCAACTGATCCAGGCAAGCTACAATAGTCACACACTAGTTATTACATTGTTACAATAGGGAAGTTTGGGAAATCTAGGTTACTAATGCTTCTGTTGGTTTTTCTTTGAATGGTTTGATTACACTGATGTACATCCTACCTTTGACATGCTTTCCTGGATCCACAGTTCTGAACTTGATCTGTGTACCAAACGTGTATAGATTCCTGTTAACATACTTCAAGAAAGCTTCAGCAGTTCTCCTGGCCAGTGTACAAGCCTACAAATACCAATTGTGAGATAAAAAATTAAAATACATCACAATATTTTTTGTTCACTTTTACTAATTATGTTGAATTGATTCCATCAATAAAATAAGTTTTTCTGTGACTGATATCATGCCCCATTTATCTCTCTTCACTGATCTCTTTTTTAACATCTTGTCCTGACACATACTGACCTTTAGGAATGCCTCCTTCTGCTCGTTATGTTTGTTGATGAGCTGTAGGAGATAAGCGGCCTTGTCCTGAGCTGCCACTCGCTCGTTAGAACACCAGTCCTCATCTCTCCTGTAGTCTCTCTCCAGGCTCTCCAACACTGACCATACCTACAAAACAAATTAACACACATTAAGCAACTGAACACAAAAGTCCTTATTCCAAGGCTTTTCTTGGATTCTCCCCAGATAAGTTTAATCTCTACATGTAAAACATTCATTTACTTAAAACTTTCACCAATCATCAGAACGTTCATGTACAGGATTTCAGCTTTCTTTTCATCTTCTCTCTATATATCTTTTTTTCCATCAGTATTCAAAAGAAATTTCAGTATTTGACTAACTTCTAAATAAAATTCTAGACAAATGTGCCATTCACCTGTTCGGCGGTTTTGTACCAGTTCATGGAGGCCATCACTAACTTATGTCTCTCCTCTGTGTGATACATCAGCTGCTGCCAGGCTACCGTCACATTCTCCGCGATCGCCCGCACCAGGTCCGAGTTATAATGGTTGTTCTGTATCATACTCTCCGCTCGGTTTGTCACTTGAGCCATACTTATATTAGTTTTCTAAAAATAATCACAAAGAAATTATGCTGATTTTTCACTTTTACTCTTTTCTCAGTGTTTTCCAATTTGATTTATGAAGAAATATTTTTTCTGAGACAAATTAATCTGACATGAAGAAAATCATCAACTCATAATATAACAACTATCCTGTAAGTATCTCAAGCATTAAAGAGTACAGTAAATTTTAATCATCTTAAGAAAATTTAAACCACTTTTAATACTCTAAATAAACTTAAATTTTTGGTTTCTATTTCAAAACGTTTCAACTCTAGATATTCCAAAGTTTTCCCTGCATTTTGAGAAAAGTTTACTAACCTCAATAGCTAACATAAACTGCTCATGTTCCTTCCTCAGCTGATCTGCCTCCATTAAGGAGTTTGGACAAATAAAGCTGCTCACCAACATTGACTTTCCGTTCTCTATCCAGTAGATCACCTACAATTAAATTCGTAACTAAACTGTTTAGACCGCCAAAAGTAAGCTTTTATTGGATTAACGCTATTCAGTAGATCGCCTACAATCAAATCTGTAACAGAATTGCCACTGACCGCAAAAACAAGCTTTTATTGTATTCACGCTACCCGCCAAAATATTAGCTACTTAATATTCAGCTTTTTCAGCCAATCATAAACTACTTTTTCTCAATCACTATCTTGCTTCGAATGTCAAAAGAAATAATTATTCATGTAAGCCTTAAGCATTTCTTTCAGCCAAGTAATTCTAATGTTGTAGATTTAGTTTGCCCGCCAAGTGAATTCTTATTTTTTCCTGCCAATAGTTTTAATCTTTATTGCTTATCATGATCTTCCATGTTTTGTCAAAAAGGATTTGGTATGCAGTAATTGTCATTCTTTGTGAACATTTCATTTTGGCGCTCAGATTTTCTTGCACTTTTAATTTTACACATGTGTGTTTTCTAACAACCTAGAAACACTTTACTGAATGGAAATTCCTAGGAATGTTATTTATTCAGATGTCAAAACTTAAGATCTCAATCAATGTTTTCTGTCAGATATCATCTGAGATTTAAAGAAAAATGATATTTTGCTTCCTTAGAAATAGATTTTCCCTCCAAAATTAAATTTTCCCTCCAAAAATAAATTCAGAAAGTAGCTAGTGTAAATTCCTTCCATGAACTGTTTGTGCTATTCTTTTTTCTTCATTTTGAAGGGGGGGGGGTGATGTCAAAAATCAATTGCTTTTAAATAATTTAGTTTTACTTTAGCTTACCCTTAACTCATCCTTGTTTATTAAAATGAACAAACTTGTATCCTCTAAAATCATGTTGTTTCACCATGATAATCTACCTGGTCTTCTACCTACCTGTCTGGCCTCCACCTCAAAGTTCTGTAGCTGTACCCCTTGTTCCAGCCTCTGTCTCTTGGTCTCGGCAATGGTCTCAAGGTCCAGCTCTCGTTCCCGTAGATACTCCATCAGAGCCTGGATCCGGGAGGGAGCATCGTACTGAGTGTCCGCCATCAGCTGGATCCCACTACTCTCAAATATCTATAGTCAAATACAGTCAGTCGATGAAGCTTTAACAGTTATATGTGTATTCAATAAAAAATTCCCGTTCTCCATTGTTCTGAAAGCACGTCAATGTAGCTACTGAATCTATCATATAAATGTCTACTTTATAATGAGCTCTGGTGGGAAACTCAAGTAAAATCATGGGTGGGGTGTGTTTAGATTTTCTGGTACTTCAAAATTCCACTTGCCCAGTAAGTTACACTAATTGTCTCAAGTATGATGACACAGAGTTTAAAAACTTACCAAGTCCAATGTTCATTTTTAAAATTTCAAAATTTAAAAACTGCATTCACTATCAGCTGATTACAAATACTGCAATATTATTTTAAGTACCTATTAAGTTTTCTGGAGGTTTCATGGGAAATTGATATTTTGAAAATGTGAAAGCCCGTTCATTAAAGGCCCTATAGTTTCACTTTCAAATACTTAAAATTCATAGCTTTAAGAACATGTTTAACATGCTATCCACTGCCTGATCCCAGCGGTCTCCCGCGTGAGCTGTACCTGGATGATATCCTGCCCCCTCTGTAGAACGTCGTAAGTACAGTTCTGCATGTGAAGCACGCTGTCGTTATGGATCTGGAGCTGCTGTTCTGATTTAGCCCCGTCTGACATCAGATCCTGATGCTGGAGTTCCTCCGCCCAGAGTTCTAACTGGGAGGACACCTGATAGAGAAAAAATCCAGGATCTTATATCACTGATCACTGTTTTCATGCAAATATGTCACCTTAATGTTGTGCTGGGTAGACCTCCAGCACAGACTGTATTCATTCTTTGTAAGGTTTTTATGCCCTATTTGTATAGAGTAGGAGGAAATATGTTTTGTACAAGTATTTATAAGATTGGTAAATGGATGTATGGACTACCAGACTGAACACTTTAGACCACCTGCTCAAACCTAATAAATATATTCTGAACAGAGTTTATAAATGTATTTCACCTATCATATTATGCAATGTACTATACAATATACCTCTAGAGCATCTCTCTCAAACAGTCTGAGTTGTAAACACAAGTCTAATTTCATCTTTCGATTGGCCCACAATTCTTCTAGCTGTGTCCTACTGTCATTCAACTGTCTCAGAACACCTAAAAGAGAACATATTATTAAGACCATACTTCTATTAAACTGTCCATCTATTGAATAAAATTCTTATGCCCCCATATTTGAAGATTTGGGGATATATAGTTAAAGCCCTGACCATTTGTCTGTCTGTCTGCAAAAACTTTAACCTTGCCCATGAGTGCTTAGAGCTTTATATTTCACATGAGTATTCTTAGTGACAAGGCCTTCCTTGGGGTATCAATACATATGGCTTTGACCTTGGAGTTTGACCCACTTTTGCCAAAAAATTAAAAACTTTGACCTTTAAACAGTTGGTGGTAGGGCTTTCATACTTCATATTTTACTAATCTGACAAGATATTTCCAAATACATGTACAATGTATTTAAATATTTTTTACCTTTTGACCTGAACCTATGAGTTTGACCAACTTTTTAAAAAAACCTTTAACCTTGGCCATAACTTTTGAACAGTTTGTACTAGGGCCTTTATATTTCACATATGAATTCATTATGACAAGAACAACGATTATGACCTTGAACATGAGTTTGATTTAATTTTGAAAAATTTAATATTGGCAGTATTTTTTGAACAATTGGAGCTAGGGTTTTTAATTAACATTTCAGATGTAATGGCAAGGCCTTCACCTGCATACCATCTATTGACCTTGACCTTGGAGTCTGACCTACATTTTATAAAGTTTTATCTTGTCCATAACATTTGAATGGTTTCGGGTGCTTGGGCTTTCTTTTTTCACAGGTATAATTATTGAGACAAGCCTTTTCTTAGAGAACCAACATTTTTCATCTCTTGACCTTGGAGTGTGACTTGGTGTGAGAAACTAACATTTTCCAAAAGCTGCCATATGGGAGCATCAGTGCTTCACAAACACATCTTGTTTTATTAAAAAGGTTTCATAATTGGATGTTGTTAATCATTTGTAAAATACTAATTAAATTAAACAATTGTTTAAAACTAAAGAGTAAACAGGTGTTCATCAAGTTCCTCTTTTGATAAATATTACAAAACATGATTGAGATTTTGATCTCTGCATATGACCTTGACCTGAATTATATCTTTCTGAACTTTGCCTTGAATATGAAGTCTATCAAATAGTTAAGAGTAAAATGTAAAATGATTTGCACAGTTACACTTGCAGAGAAACAACAAGCCCCAATTCTTTAAACTCAAAACCATCTGTGTAATAGTGAATGAAGCATTCTTTGGTAAACCTGTTCCTTCCTTTGATACAGTTTAGAAATATGTGAAATGTTTATTCAGTTGTCTTGTTTGATATTATATCAATCAAAACAAAGATGTATTCAGTAGACAATGCAAGTTCTGAAGTAACTATAAGATGTTATATAAAAAAATTTTTTAAAACGTAAAAATGGGTTATCGGAACATTTACTATGTACATGTAAATGTATATTTCATCTGAAGAGTGAAATATTTGAAATATATGAGGCTGTTTACAAACATCTGTTTTACATTGATGAGATCCAGAGAACATAGTATCTGTGTAGATATAAAAGCAGATTAAAAATTGAGACCGAATTCCATTAATTTGTCACTCATCCATTTATTTCCCACCCACAGAAAGGTCTGCTTATCAAAACACTTCACTGCATTTAAGTCATTAAGGATGGTCTGAGAAATAAAGGCATTCTGCCAAACCAGGTTACATAATAACAAAAGACAAAAGATAAACTTAATTCATTGCATTTTCCCTGATGCTAAACATTAGCAACCCCCCCCCTTCATAAAAAAACTATCAAATTAAGAAAATTCACTTCCCCAAACTCATAAAACAAGAGATACTTCTAGCTCATGATCAGTGTTCTTGGGAAAAATGTTTTTTTTTTTACTTTGCTCTTATGGTAATTGTTTAAATCAAGCCCCTAGGGAAGGGTGGGGCCATGATAGGGAATCAAAATTCAATACATTGAAATATATAGAGAAAATCTTTCAAAATCTTAAGAATCACTGAGACAGAAGTTCTAAAAAGTATGTGGAAGCATCCTGGGTTTGTATAGATTCTAAATTTCAAATTATGGACCCCAGGGCAGGGTATCAAAGTTTTCCAAGGTAATGTAGATTCTAAATTGTTAAAATCATGCCCCCAGAGGTAGGGTGGGGCCATAACAGGGAATCAAAATTTTTCATTGAAGCATATAAAAAAATTTTTTTAAAAAAACTTTTCTCCTCAAGAACCCACGGGCCAGAAAAGTTGAAACTTATGTGGAAGCATTCTCATCTTCGCTAGCCAAGGGTTTCTGATACGCTACTCTCCTCATAAACCCTTGGCATACGGTGTTCATAGAAGTTGGGTTTATTTTTTCTCGATCGGTCAACCAATCAGCAATTGTTTTTTGTAAATGACGACATTTGCATTCGGGACCCTTCTTGATTCTTTAATCTCGGAAATGAAAAACGCAAGTAAACAACTATCTGTAAGATAACATGCAATTCTATGAATAGAAATGGTGTCATCCAATATCTTCTAAATATGTGATTAAGAATCTATATTGAAGTTTCCGATATGTACTATAAATAATGAATAAACATAACTCAATTGCTTCTTAAATATTCTTGAAAAAAAACTTTGATTTAATTTTTTTAAACACGCGTCTTTATTTCTGTCGATGACGCAATCTGTGCATACCTGATTTGATTCGAGATCACGTGATGAAAACAATCCCTTCTTTTGATTTCACCGTATGCCAAGGGTTTATGAGGAGAGTAGCCTATCAGAAACCCTTGGCTAGCGAAGATGAAGCATTCTGGGATAGTGTAGATTCTAAATTGTAAAAAACATGCAAAATATATAGGAAAAATCTTTTTCTCAAGAACCACTGGGCCAGAAAAGCTTGTAAACTTATGTAAAAACTTGCTAAAATAGTGTAGATTCTAAATTGTTTTTAAAAACCATGGCCCCCAGTGCTAGGGTAGAACAACAACAGGGAATCAAATAATTTTAAGCAGGAATTTCAGATTAAAAACAGTAGGGCCAAAGTGAAACAGGTGAGCATTATAACCCATGGGCCTCTTATTTCAATATATGGTCAAAATGCCCCAGGATAACATAATTATAATAATTTACATAGTTTTAATACCATCCCTAAAATAATCCTGAAAATATGTGGTTTTATAGTAAGCTGTTTAACTATAACAAATCTTTTCCTTTTCAACCCCCACCCACCCCCTTCCCCCTTTGAAATTTCTAGATCTGCATGTGCCTGTTCTCTATAACTATTACTTAATTAAATCATATCATATGTATATTTTGTTATGTTAAGCTAAATAGCCTTGTTCTTTCCTTGGGTCTTCTTTGAAGAACATGCATATTACATTATACATAATAAATATGTCTCCATGCCAATGCTTCCTATGACACTCAATTATAGATTACCATTATTGATTACCTGCCCTTACATTGGCCCTGTAAAATCAGACAGAAAAACAATACAAATCTGTTAGAAGAATGGACCAAACTATTGATTAACTGTTAGATAAATACTATAAAAATACTGCAGAAAGGAACTTGTGGTCAATATGCATTGGACTGAATCTAATTTGAAACAATAAGGAAGTAGAGATAGGAAAGTGAATAGCATGAAAATTGAATAAAATAACAATCGATAAAATGAAAGTCTGAAATCTAATTTTTCTTCCTATTGTAACTAAATTTCCATTTTTGTCCCCTGCTGAAAGTGGGGGATATTAAATTTTGGTCAGTCTGTCTGTCTAGCTGTCTGTTCATCTAGCTGTCTGTAGTTCTGTCTGTCTGTAAGGCTTTCCTTTCCACGTAACATCTTGAGAAGTCTTTGAGCTTTTGCAATGAAAATTTTACAAAATACCTCTCTATGGCCTAAGAAAGCTAAAAAATTCTGTCTGTTTTAACACTTTTGTTTCCATGAGATATCTAAAGATACCTTTGAGCTTTTGCAATGATATTTTATACCACAACTCTGTGGGGCTTAAAGAAAACCCCCATTTATTTTGAGGTCAAAAGGTCAAAGGTCAAGGTTGTCAATTCAAACATTTTGTGTGTGTGTGTAAAACTTTCATATCCGGGTGATATCTCAAAAAGCTTTGGAGTTTTTGTGATTAATTTTTACCATAACTCACTATGCCCCCCACCCTTCTGTCCATCCTTCCATTTGGCTGTATTTTTGTCTACAGTAACAATTCTGTTTCCAAGCGATATCTCAAGAAGCCTTTGAACTTAGCAATTAAATTCTACATGACAACTCCCTATGGCCTAAAGAAGACTCCTATTGATTTTGAAGTCAAAAGGCATAGTAGAGGCTAAACTAAACACACTTGGTTTTTGTAAAATTCTGTCAATGTAGAACCCGATATAAACATTTATACAATATGTATGTGACCTACTGTTTGCATTTATTCCTTTTCAAATCAAGTTTGTCAATGGTCAAGGGTAAACTTTCTCGCTAAGAATGTGAGAGGCCCCTGGTTCAAATCCCTGTTGAACCGCCTTTTTTTTTTTTTTTAAATTTTATCAATTACTAAATGATAGTATTGACTACAGCATAAGTTATGACATAAGTTGTGTACAAAATATTATCATTGTGTGATGAATATTTTATATTAATACACATTTAAAGAATAAGAAGTCAAATCTTTATATCCATATAGGCATTTTTTATTTGCTTCAGTGCATATAAATTTATTAATTCTGCAAATCCGGGGGTGTGGGGGGGGGGGGGGTGTCAACCCCACAATCTGAGCATCCTCGTCTTTTTTCCTTAAGCAGGGACACAATTTCTATGAATTTAAGCTTGTTATGAGTATATTTTTCAAAAAATCTTGTGCAGTAGTTCTAAGAATCTAGAGCTACAAAACAAAAACAAACACTGAAATTTAAAAAAAAATCACAAATGCAATCAAAATGCCTAGCACAGACAGGGATAACTCTGTTTTTCATTTTTATTCATCAATTGTGCTCAGCATCTAAACAGCAATGTAAACAATAAATGCTCTCACAATGAGTCCAACTTCAAATGTGAATGTGTTAGAAATGTGTGCTTTTCACTGTTGGAAATCTACATTACATCTGAAATTGATTAGGGCATGTTCTCAAAAAAATACACCATTGCAGCAATGCTTTTTTAATTAAACCTTAAGGATTATTGTACAAGAAATAACAAGAAGAAATGGGAATGACCCTGACCTTTCAAACCAAGTCAATTTGTCTGACATAACAGACCAGACATTTGTTTTGCACTTGAAATAATGCATACTGTAAGTGGGGAGTTACACACTTAAATTATCTCTGCCAGACATCGTCACATACATATTTCCTGAATCCTCGATTTACTATATAGACAAAATAACCCTGATTCAATTAGAAAGATGATCCATTATGGACCACAGGCTAAAGAAATCTTCAGTGATAAAAAGAACCTGGTACATTGTACCTGTAATTAGATATAAATGATGTCCATTAAATTGTCATCCTAAGGAGGTACTTTAGTCACATGTCAACCTTTTCAGAGATAATACTTTCACTTTTCTTGGTTGGAACCACTCAGTATAAATGTGAGAAAGGGTAGGACGTTGGGACACAGGAGTAATGACAACAGATATTTTAAGCTATAAACAAAAGTAGAATAGAGTTAATTAGTCTATATACATATGTAGTACTCCTTTAATCCATTAACAATACCCTCATACTTATTCTCATGGGGTATGTTACACCTGTTGAACTAATTCACTAGGTATAACAATAGAATTCCAAAAATAATGAGCAAGACACTTAACTGCAAAATGACCAACAGACAGACAGACAAACAGCTAAGTCAATTCCACTATAAAGCCTGTAAAGAGGCAGGCATATAAAATTGTGTGAGACAATAGCAATAATATTATTTTTCACAAACTATTAGTATTGTAAATGTAATTAAATCTCACTTACCTTCTATATGGGTATAATCCGCATTCTGATTAATTTTGTCAGGCTCAGCACTGAACACCCTACGAAAAATGTAAACAAGGATTTCACAGAGTTTCATTAATTTTATCCACAAGAAAATACACACCACTGCCACAAATCTTAAAATTTTGGTCACAACAATTAAAATCAGTAACACAAAGCTAAAAATCTTCATCACAGTAATGTGTAAAGATTGGTCCGGCATTTTGTCAAAAAGTTTGCTACGCCATTGGGTAAAATTAACCCTTCTCTGAGAAGGACCCGGGGCCCAAGAATGTCGCCATGATGCCCTCCAAGAGCGGCGCTGACGCACTGCCACACCCTCGGAATCGGACCCCGAACGCCTTCGTTGGACTGGAATGTTGGATGGCATTGTGGAATGATTACTTGATTATTAATTATTTTTTAAATTTCTATGATCTCCCTCTCTAGTACAGTGTTAGGAATTCCCAAAGCTTCTGCACATGTTGACATCCAAAGCACCTAGCCATGTTTACATCACACTACTGTGTTGGAGCACTTGTTAAAAACACAAGTTAAGCACAAGAGTCTGTACAGATGTCTCCTTGTTTCCTCACACACCATCGGACACGGAATATCGAGATGAAATATGACTAATTTCCTTTACATGCTTCTAGCACTAGACAAAAACTATGTGATTTTTTTCCTCATGTGATTAAAGCTAGTAATAACTCTTGCCACGAATGTTCCCAATCAGGTGGGCTGTAGAGATATACATCCCAGAATGTTTATAATCATTACATGTATACAATAAACACCACGGACATTTAACCCCAATGAATGGCCGGGCATAACGACTTCATCTTATTTCTTTAGCACATCCCATAGCAGAGTATACCACACAAATGTATGAGAATTCAATGGACCAACATTTCTGTCTCTTGTCCTAGCTTCCATGGAATGATAATTAATTCCATAAAATCCAATATTATAGTCACACACCAGTGTCATCATCTGAACTTTACCAACATGCATATTTTCCAAAAAAATTTTACTACCAAAGTAATGCAAACAGATAATCCATAAAAAAAATGAAGCACGTGTCTAAGAAAAATGAAACAAGTATTTTTCTCCTAGTAATCAATATAAACACTCAGCTGTCTACAGACATTATATACCTTCTCCCCAAAACACAGCCCTCTCAAAGAATGTGATTAATCACTAAATGTTATGATCATCAAATCATTACAGTTCAGTTTCAATCTGCCTCCGTGCTCATGTACCACACTAAATGAGTCATTTTTCCAATAAGTGAAATCCTATATACATGTACTTGATAAAATCCCAAAACATCATGTTATGTCACATGGATGGTCTCCCTTGCTTTACAACAACTTCAAGACACAATATCTACATGACAAGTTTTATCAATCATAAGAAATGGACCTTAATTCCTCATTCCTACAGATCTCATGCAAAATACTTTAATGTATTATTATTCTACTAACAAATTAAGCTGATTAGATTTTAATTACTGGCATTCCTTTAAGCTTAATGCCTTGATAAATTCTTTTCAAATTAAAACCCACACACAGTATTTTCTCATCAGCTAGACATCATTTTATAATCACCAGCCAAACTTTTAGAAAAGTTATGATGTAGGTGGATCTAAAGATCACAAGCAAATATTTTTTTTGGTCACTGGGCCAATTACCTCAGGGAAATAAATCTCACTTAAGTTGTTACACTGATTTGACAACCATAATGAAGATAAATTTTCAGTCACCTTGACATTTTCAACAAGGACTTTATAAATTCTTTTGAATTACTTTCATTCATTTTTATCTCATGCATGCATGCACTATCTCTTATGCATGCGTATCTGTTATAAAATGTACTCAAAGGTTTCAAAAGCAATCATATCTCAAAGCTCCACCTTATTTTCAAATTGTATCTTATCTTCTCATACGCAGTTGTGCAATGGTTTAGTTTCTTATATGCTGGGGAAACACCTGCCGAAAATTCGTCAAAGTTATGGAATACAGAAACAAAACAATGGGCAGAATTCCTCGAGAAAATATGTCAAGCAGAAAACCATATACAAGCCAACCATGAAATGAGAAAAATTCTGATGTAGCCTATCTGCTGTTGATGTTTGTGCATTATCTTGTAATTTTTCAACAGTGAAACAGTAATAATAATTTCAGTAAAACAAAGTTGTTGAGCTACAAGCTTTAAGGAGGAACAGGACCTTTTGCTGGAAAAATTCCTGTCAGTGTATTTTTTTTGTATTTTTCATATTACTAATCTAATATGTACTTAACATTTTAAAATGGTCCTGTCATGGGATTTCTTAACTTATTTAAAAGATATCTCCCCACAAATACCACCCTGTTTAGAGTTTGTATGGCGTTTAGATACTTCATATTTATGGGCCCATAACGGAGTCCATAATGCGAATTTTTACGCACAAACGAGAAATATGATAGATAACACTATATACTCAAATATTTCAGAATATTCATAGTGTTTAAATTATCTGAAAGCAATTGTTTTAATTTTATATAGTATTTGGGTGGGATAATTTCTGTATTTTTCAAAGCAGCTTCAACGACAAAAACCTCATTTGGAGAAAATTCTGTCAATAAATATTTCTAAATTTACGATTGAATGTCAGTCCTTCATCGTAATTATTTACTGCATAAATATCACAGGGTGAAGCTTAATTGTCTCAATATCGCACAGGACATCGTTGAATTAGACGTAAGCATGATAAAAATGCTTCACGTTCGTATTTTCCGTGTGCGTGAAATCAATTGTGACGTCACACAAAAACATAAACATTCAAAATTATCTAAATATAGAGAATCTCTGCTACTAAACACGAAAAAAAATTAATTTTAAAAAATCTGCTTCAGAAATTTATCACGATACATTGACTGTGACCTGTTTATTATGAAATAAAACTGATCATGACGGGTGTGTGTACTTGATCTCGCTGCACTGAGAATTCAAACACTATATCTATGATGTCACTGACGTCAGACTGCAGGGTAAAGAGGAACAAATGTGTGGATTGGGCAACTTCACAATATCTGAATGATGGCAACATCTTTAAAAATTTTATTAATGATAATTTCTAAAATTAAATGTTTAAAAAACAATTTTAGAATTTAGAATAAAATTACACAAGAACTGTTGATTTTAACAACATGTATATCATCACCGATTATGACGTAATATGTCTTTTTAGTCATGTGACATGTGTCCTGTCTCCCCTTAAATATGATCATGTCTTATAACCAAACCTACAATTATTCCTTTCCCTAAAGTGGAAAAGGACCACACATATCTTAATAATTCCTATCCTATTGCTTTAACAAGCTGCTTAAGTAAAACAATGGAAAGGATATGACTTCATGTTCTGATAAATGATCAGTTTTGACCCTGATGCAAGCTAATGACATATAAATACATATAATTTTGTCTGATCTCTGGTGGATGAAAATTCTGGATTTAACATTGAAAACTGACCCCCAAAAAATGTTTTTTTGCATTTGGGTCTAAAATCCCCATAATTCACTGAGAATTTATGTCCAAATAGACAGGAATGAAAATTGCACAAATCTGTGCTATTTTCACCAGATATTAATTTTTATCATAATAATATACCCATGATGTCCATGCCAATAAAAACCTTTAAATGCATAGGTTGTTAACCTTGACCTTTGACAGTGAAAATCAATACTAATATTATCTAATATCACATTAAATATGAAGAATGACAGAAAGTTATGCATATAAGTTAATTTTTTCAAATCAATATAATGTTTAAACAGTTTATCACTATGAAGTAAAATTATCTGTATACTATGACACCTGTTCTATCCTGCCATAAAATGCAAGTAACGCAGTAACAAGGAACCAACAGTGGAGGTGAATGTAAATCTACAACTACTGTCCAAAGACTTGACCATTTCCTCCTAGAATTACATGACCTATAAAATTGATAAGTTCTTATTTGATGCACATAAAAATGTACACACACAAAAGCTGAGGAATATGGTACATAAATATTATGACCGACACAAGCCTATAAAACCCTCAGAAAGTCGTATTGTGGCTATATATCTAATGATTGCCCCTGAGCAGGACCAGATCAAGGCAGCAACAGAGGGTCATAACTGACTGTATACACACCATCAATGCTTACTTTCAAGTGTGTATCTAAATTCCATAAAGAGATTACGGGCAGAAAACCTGATTTATAATATTTATCATCCATGTTAGCCTTTGACTAATCTTACAAACACTTGCATCTGATTACACAACAGCAAGTAAAATGTAGGGCTGAGGTCTCCCTTTTGTCTGAAGCTGAAAAAGTTCATTTACACAGCAGGAATCTTGAACAGCATCCAGGATCACACATTAGATTTTTGTTGAAATGTTTCCAAGCTACCAATGCACTGAATTGATTCAACAGAGTAAGCAAATTTACTACCATTACCTGCCTCTGTTGACAGAGAGATTAGCTTTCTGCCAATTAAGAGAAAAGAAATGGGTGAATCAGGATTTTTAGGCCACTAATTGGTTTTCTTCCTACTTATAAATAAACAGTATATGCTGAATTCAAAGATATAACTCTAAAGTGTATATTGATCAACAAAACATTAAAGATCGTCACTCCATTAAATGTCTTACAGCTGACATTTTCATAATGCATGGGGAGGTGTTCTACAGAAAACAATGCACATAAAATGTTATCTCAGAAATTCTTTTTAAGATTGGAATCTGGTTGACTGGAATGTGAATTCTCTGATTTCAGTACAAACCACTAATGACACAAATGTCTCCTCTTTAAACAATCCTGTCAGGATTGAAACACTTCTCAAGTTCTCTATTATTTCCACTTGTTCAATTACGACCAACTGTTAGCAACAAAAGGTACCCTAAAGTAAACATATGGAAATTCACACATAAAACTGTTCCTTATACTTTATTAAGCTATTATGGGCTTTCTTTGTCAAAGAGACACAATCTTGGTCTAATTTCTCTCTTTCTTGGCAATCACTTAGACACAAGCAGAAACTGATGTAGAAAACTAAAGAGTGAGTGAACTAAACTAAGAAGTAATATCTTCTCCCCTTATAGTTATCTTGGGTCTGATTCCTGATACAAATATTTTGCCTCAAATATATAATTTGCTACTAATTCTGGTATTTTCTGCTAGTGACCTTAAACTTGCAAAACTGATCATAAACAAAGACATGTCAAAATCAAAGATCCATTTAGCAAATCTTTATAAAGTATGATGTTCCAATCTTTTCTTCATTTAAAAGTTACTAACAATCCCAACATTTTTATGCAATGAAACTGAATTCAAATGGCCTTTGCAAAGGACTTAAAACATTCTCACTTTTGGAACAATCTTGGTACAAGTAAATAGCATGGGCTTCCAGTGTTTCTTCTTCAAAAGTTTCAACCTGAATCTCATGTCATATAAGTTTTAACATTATCAAAAGGTTGGGGACTGAGGCAATAAAAATTTATAAGGAACGCTATTTTGTTTAATGACATTTGTCAACCTCTATGCTTGTTGATATCTCAATACCTTTCTTTGACAAGATGGAAAATGGACCTATCCTTCAGATCATAATGTTCACACAAGCTACATTACTTTTGGCTTGTCTAATCCAAAATCAGCACTGTGCATATTCCCCTCTCTCTGATTTTTTTTTTTTTTTTGCCATTTAAAAAGAGGTTGACTAATTCTCTCTCTATAAACCTGTTCTAACATTTCCAAAGTCTACAGAAGTTTTTCAAAATTGGAACTACAGATGGTGGCAAAAAGAAAAAGATTGCCCTCCTTTGGGGCAACTACTATTTTTACCACTCAATCTCTTTTAAATTCATGATAAGATGGCACAGACCTGACAAAATGATGTACATATTATTAGAGAAATCTGATATTATGTTCTAAACATGGATATTCAAAGACTTGAAAGTATCATCTATTTTCATCATCCATGTCAAGATATGTTGAATACAATGTTAAATAATAAATATGATGGTCATACAATTGCTTACAAAAACATTTACAATTTTTTCAAAGATAAATAATACCTCTCAAACTACAGTACATGTTGTAGACAAATATGTAATGTTGAATACGTGTGTAAAAATTCACTGTTGTATGTTAAGCAGTTTTAATTTTATTGAATCAGTCCAAAAACTTCTTGATAGCCCCTAATACATATTTAATCAACCAATTAATAACTTGTTTCAAAATTATTCTTATGCAACTACAGTACTAACTCCCTAAGAGTAATGTATGATTCTCACCTTATTTCTTCCAGTAGATTTTCCCCTTCACTAACTGTGTTGATGGCTGATTCTATAGTTATCTCCCTTTGCTGATTAAACTGGTCCAGTAGTTGTTCTGCCCCCTCCACAGTGTCGGCTATTTCAGAACTCTGTAATTCCTGCTGCAGGTCTTCTAACCATGATGTCAACTGTTAAAAATAAAGGCAATTTAACAGTTTAATGAATTTTAAATATGAAAATTTGAATTCAGAAGAGATGAATATTTGACACATATAAGTTTCAGTCACACCTTACAGATTAATACTAACAGATGTTAACAGATGAGGAAACAGAGATAGAATGCAATTCATTGTAAAACATAACTGAAAAGAGCTTGAGTCAGAAAGTACACAAATTCGCCTGTTTTCAAAATAGGACAATTTTACCTTTAGGTATATCTCCAGACTGTATATTTTTTCAAACCAATTTTCTTTTTTCAATATCTCTTTTATATTTTCTGTAAGAGGTCTTCAAAATAGCATATGTATATGGCCGAATTTCATACATTTTACGGAACGTCATAATGACGTTGTGAATTTCAACACATCTGAGTTCTCATAAATAAAGTGGTAAATATTTATCAATTGATGAAAATTTCACAAAAATGTATATTACAATATATTACAGATAGTACTTTAATATTTTGTTAATAAAAGATAACGAAATTTAAAATTATAACGCGTCAGGTGTAAACAAGCATAGGTACATGTACAAGTGAAAATGACAGCGTGTCCGTTCAGCACCCGTGTGTTAATCGCTGAACACGTACATAATTAGATACATTGTAACGTGACATTATTGACATTGATAATGTTTTAAAATAATAAATTCATTTAATTACATAAACTTTATGCATTTGATATTTTAATCAACCTGTATATATAAAGCCAATTCCAGGAACCCGGGGATGTTAAATGTAAAAGTAAAAATAGTACTGGTCACATAATTGATTGCGCCCATGGAAGAAGGGCCCATTTTAGCAATATTTATACATTTTGAGTTATTCACGGATTTTGGTTGAGTAAGGTTCAAAGTTGTCAAATATGAATTTTTTTGTCCTATATACGTCCACTCTAAGTAGTTTTTTTTTTTTTCATTTTATTCAAAGATACAAAGATAACAAATTCATAATATAATGTTGTGTTTTTCAACAACGTCAAACGTTTTCAGAGTGAACGTAAAATGATTTTCTTTTGTAATATTACTACGGTAATTAATAGAACTTTAAATAATATTTACCAGGTAATATTTTCACATGCGCATTATTTTTTTTTTCTCATCGTCTCTTTTAATTATTAATAATTTTTAATAGTTACATGTACCGGTATATAGATTATGGATTCAGCAGTGGTGTTTAGCAGTATGAGCGAGTTATTATTGAACATGCATTGCTCTCAATGGGTTAAGATGTATTTTCTTTGCTTGATTTCAGCATAAAACAATATATCTTTGGTTACCATATATGTGAAAATTAATTTTAAAAACCATATCTGGAACAATAATACGCTACCTCAATGTTACTGCAAAGTTAAAATTCATTATTTTTTTCTTCTAAATTTCAAATAAAGACAGAAAAATTGCGAAGAATGGTAACATGTTATTACGCTATACAAAAGACAGTGAATAGATTCACTGCATCTATTAGAATGTCTCTGCATGGGGTGAATAATGACACTGTTTTTTGGAAATATAAAGGATACACGAAATATTTTTCAGTGTAGCAGTTAAAATATTTTATTATTTACAAATCAAAAAGGTGGGAATTTCATAAACAAACGAATGAGTTATAATCCGCACACAATTTAATAGATCTACAGACCCAGAATTAATGTGTGTGTTGGTGAGGAAAGGGGGGGGGGGTGGTAAAAATCTAAATGGCAGAAACTTACAATTCCTCAAAATGACTTAAAATAAATAAATACATATTTTTTACCTGCCAAGTTTTAGGTGAACAGGCGTAGAAAACACTGTGTATAATGTTTATTCCTCATATGTAAGACAGTACCGGTTTTCCATACACATTCTCCAACTATAAGAACACCTCTGAAGAGGGTACCACGTGATGTTTTACGCACGGACTTGTGAAGATATTCTTTTTCTCAAGAGTAATCATTCTCATGTTTTAACAAAATGTTATCACGATTATCAATTGGCTTTGCAAAGTTTTTTATAAGAAATAAGAAAAGATTTTATTTTCAATAATCTATACAGTGTGTTTATTGACAATCACTATACATGGTTGAAGTTTCATTTTTCCCTTTCATATTAATTTCTGCTTTTCAACATTTTCAACTATTTTCGACACTTGTGTATTTTGAGCAATACCTATACTTCGTTGAACGAATACTTCCGAGAGCAGCATATTAGCAGACTTCTAATGCAAGAACGCCGCTAAATCAGATGCAGATCCAGTGCAGGTGCCTCTGGTGTGCGCACACCCACCCCCCACCCTTTAGACTTTTTAAAACAATATTTACTAAACTAATAACACATTATTAAAATCAGGTTTCCTTATTTTGTGTATGTGAGGGTGCGTGTTTGTGAATTCAACCCTATGGCAGGGTGCCCCTATTTTTTTTATCTTCGGGGACGTAGCAACAGGGGGGGGGGGGCAACAATACTTTAACTATGTGAAAATGTTCACTGAAAGGTTGGTCGCTCCCCACACTTTTTACTAAAGTAAAGTAATATGAGGGATGATACGTATATGCTTTAAAATGGATATTGAAAAGGATTTGGTAGTTGAAAACGTTAGGATTTTCGACTTTAGGCAATTATCCTTTAATTTTTGTTTGCTTGTTAAGTTTTTTAGGAAAGTTAAAAAAATTCTGTGGCTGCCCCCTCCCCCCACTTTAAAAATCGATGCTACGTGCCTGACCTTGAATTATTCCTTAGATCCAATCTATCGAAATATCATTTATTTATTTAGGGACGGTCTGCCCTGATAGACTTCTAGGACAAAATTATTTTCTTATGTCACTTTCGGTCTTTTTTTTGTGAAATTACCTTATGATGAGCGATGTCGGAAACTACTTTTTACCACTCTTTTTATAACATATATATGTCATAATTATTCATACATCAAACACAGAACAGAAACATTTCCTCCTTGTTGAGATTATTCTGATAATAAATTGATAAATTTATTATTTATATATAAAGGCCGGCTAAATATTACAGTATTCCTTTATAACATATGTTTTTAACAGGATTTTTATAGACATTCCCAACCTTAAAGCATACATTTGGAGGCCACATGCAGACTTAGGCTGACATATTTGAAAATCACGATTTTATGAATATATTAAGTCATTTACTTAAATTAATTTTTAAAAAGCATAATCTACAAATTATTGAAATATTAGTGGACCTCTCTCTCACTCTCTAGCGCGCTCTCTGGAACATGACTAAATAAAAAATATCAATGTCTGAGCAAAATATAACCATGAAAAGATTGAGTAAACATATACATAATTTACAAGTTAATCACTCGCGATCTACCCGATGCGCGATAATGATTATGTAACACACAAAATACATATTGAAGCCTATGTACTAAGTAAACTTTAAATAGTAATAATGCTTTTTTATTTAAATTTTTCAAAAATTGATATTTTTTTAACATCTAAAGTTATTGATCTACAATATCACCACGAGTACGAAAAATTATTGAAGTTCCCTAAAAACTTTGACGTCATTTTCTGTACATTGTGACGTCACGAGAAAATACTGACGACTTGTCAAATGTTGAGAGAGAGAAAAAAATCAAGTAGACCTTATAGTTATAACCTGGCTACTTTGGAGGACTTCTGTTTAACAGTGGTCCACAATAGACATGCAGATGTGGAAAGCATAGACTAACGCGAAAACATTTCTACATTTTATTATGTTTTTAATTGAACTGAGAACTAGACTATATTAGAAGCTGTTTAGCCTACCCTAATTACCACGCATAAATGATGCATTTATGCTAAAAAAGGATTTATGGTTGTGTTTAAATAATTAACAGTAACTTATCTTATGAAAGATTTAATACTTGCCGTGCGAGGTTTTATTACCATCGAATTATATAAAGGTAAATTTGCTTTCTGTATGCGCAGCTGAGCAAACGACATTCGTAAATATTAAATTACGCATGGGGCGCATTCCTCTCGGAGAAAAAAACTTGTTGAAAAATACGCGTAAGATACCAATTTTTGATTTTATACTTGAATTTTTTTCCGAGAGGAATGCGCCCCACTTGAAATTTTAAAGTGAATCTGTAAAATCGGTGAAAAATTCCGGAAAAATCAAAACCTTTGTAGGTTTTAGCCGTTACCATGAAGAAGCCAACATCCGGTTTGACTAAAACTACCCACCCCTGCATTGACGAAGTCGAGTAGATACGGAAACCACAAATAGTTTTCAAGAAAACGATGATTTATTTTTTAGGAAATTCACAGGCCGTATATTGTACTTTCTGACTTTTGTTCTTTTCTCCAAATACATTTTGAGGTTCTTGGGATCAATGTATGGTACACACATGTATCAAATGGTCAAAAATCAAACAATTATCAGATGTGTACCAGAAATCAACAGTCAACTAATATACTGGAAATGGACGGATTGAAAAGTCTGCCATCCATTTGAGCTATTCAGTAAAATGTGAATGAGCCTTATGAAAAATTGATGGGGGGGGAGGGAAATTGGTGTGTGTGTGTACAGGTGATATGGACCAGTGCAAGCAATTCACATTCTTGTATTTTCTATGCATATAACCATTAAATGCACACTACGGGTAATTTTATTATATATTCACTTAATAGTAGATGCAATAATAATATAACCTGCAATATTTTTCACCAGATGACTTTAGAAAAGGAGCCTTTTCCAAACTTAATTATTGCAAATAACTTAGCTGGCATTCAGTTATTTTATTGAATGATAATATTTTCATTCTGTTGAACATGTCTTTTATAAAATAATTACACTACCTAGTGTAAATGACTTTTTAAATATCTTTGGAAATTCTAAACTAACTTACTGTATGCTTCTCTTATTGCAACAAAACTTTTTTTTCTGTAAATCATATATTCACAGAGATGATTCCAGCAAACATTTTTGAATGGAATGTCTATTGATCATTTGTATGTGTGTTAATTTTTTGTGGGGTATGTGATGATTGAATTGCCTAATTAAAACCATACAAAGTGTTCCATTTTACAACCTTGTATCATTTTTATAAAAGATAGAATGATTGCAATGTTTCTAGAAATCATAACTTAAAAGGAGTCTGAGAAAATTTAGCTGTTGCATTATTTTTAGGTAAGATTTCTTATGTACACAGAATTTAACTGATAAAACACTTCTAAAATTTCCCTTTATGTGATAATGTTAAAAATTTCATTTTGAATGAAAATACCTGAATCCTTTATAACAAGGGAAACAACATGTTACTTGCCTACTAAACTACTTACCTCATGAACATGTGTATAGAAGTCCACGGCCATTTGTATGGTAGCCTTGCGCCTCTCCAGGGAGGTAAGGAAATTCCCCATTCTCTGTTGTAAGTCCTGGGCCTCCCTGTAGATTTCCTTGGGGTCACATTCCCCCGTGTGAGCGAGCTCATCTGCTGCTGATAACAGCTTGTCTGCATTGGTGATGGTATTCTGAGAAGAAACATTTCATCAAAGGTTAAATGGGTGTTGATAAAATATTATATCTGTATGTTGAGAGTTTAAACAAATAAACTTGTAAATAATTACACTTTCTTTATGAAATCTATTGGAAATCTACAATAATCAGTTCCCTAAAACAGACACAAAACCTTGTCACAAGACTGCAGAACAAGAGGAACCGCATACTCTTTTGTTACACTAGGAACACCAAAATGTATATTAATTTGACTCAATTTAACCAAAAAAAACAAAAAAACAATTACTCTATCAAATTGTTGTAAAAATATATCAATTGTTTGTTTCCTTAAAAATTGAATTCTGCGTGCATGCAAGGCTGATTTCTAATTGTTAGCCCTGCTAAAGATCTACAGCATACAGGGTAATTTTTGCCCTGTGTTATTTTCACCCTTTCACACTTGCAAAAAATTTTCACAGTTAAAATTTGCCCGTGCAATTGGTCCTGACTAAAATTTGCATGTATAAAGAAGGAACAAAGGGGCAGTAATAATAAATTTTCCTGTACACAGTACAAGCCCAAAAAATATTCTCTTTTGAATAATTTTCTGATGCAAAAAGTGTGCATAATAAATGTGACTTTATAGAAACTTAAAATAAACAGAGTGGATGATTATGTTAAACATATAACAGTCAATGTGCTGCATTCTTACTTTAGCAACTGTTTCAAAATGTTGGTGACTCTTCTGTAAAGCTTTGCTTCTTTGTAAACTTCGACCAATTGAGGTATTTTTCTTCAAAAAGACATCTCCATGGTTTTCTAACCAATCTATGACCTGAATATGAGAATAAAATCAAAAGCCTGAAAGGCTTCAATGGCGTCGAACAAGAAAAAAAATTTCAAAAGATCTGCAAATAGAAGTCAAGTGAGTGACTCCAGTAACATAATAATAAAATTAAAAAAATAGTCTTAACACAAATACAGTATAGGGCCTGATATCCTTGTGTCCTGGTCCGAATGAGTCAGGGTTCGAATTGACCAGACATCGTCAGAAATGTCCATTCTCTATATCAATCTAATTTCTTTTCAGTCAATCGAAGACATATGAAGGGTTTCATAAATTATTTTAATTAATTGCCATTGTCAGAGTGTTGTTCTGTTGTATAGTGATTGCATCTTAACTACAACCATGACTCTAATGTTAAAAGTACGATCGACTTACGATAAGGCGCGGTAAACAAATGGAGGAAATGGATAAATACAGTAATACTGGCATTACTGGTCAATATCGTAGGTTGTTCAGCTAAAATTGGATTGAAGATCGTAAACGTAAAGCTAAGATTAAGAAATTCAATCTTTATAGTCTTGTTGTATTCGTATTTATTTTGTAATTATTTTACCGTATTTAAGATTGTTTGTATTACAGTAATCGGTCCCAAAATGTGATTCATGTCATTCGACGCACCCTCTCATTAGAAATTCATCCGCAACAACCATAACGTTTTTCTTGCGTAAAAATTAAACATAATATCGTTGTTTTGTAGTAGTATTAATTGAAGATACAATTGATTTAATTTTATATTCAAGCTATTATTCATTGTGAACGTTTTAAAAGAAATTGGTTTACAGCTGTTGCTATTTTCTATTGCGGATGCATCCACTACACGTGCGGTCACGTAAACCTGACTGATCGCTAGATGACGATCGGGCAAGCCCGACGCCATAATAAAGAGAAACTTAATAATTTACTAAAAGTAACAAGGACGCGAAGGCACTTCTCTTAATTTATAGATTTATGGTTTTTAATTATTTCCTCATCATGTTTGTTTCACAAATGTTTATGTCCCAATAACTGACTGCAACAAAACAATCAGCAAACAAATATAGAGAAATCAATTCATATTTTACTTTTGTGGAAAACTTTTTCTTATTGTCTTTTCCTCTATATAAATAGATGTACAAGTTATTGTTGTTGTAATCTATAAGACTTGGACAAACCGCTGACCTGTTTGACGTCTTGTTGAAACAACCGCAGCCCCAGTCTCTGATGAAGCTTGACCCTTTTAGAGTGCCACATTTGTTCTAAGTGTCGCTGGTGGGCTAAAACCTGAAGTATATACATAGGCAATAATATAAACTGGTTTGGGTATTTGTTGTTAAAAAAATGTATAAAATATGAAAAATTAGAAATAATAGGGTAATAATATATTTTCAACAAAGATGACAACTATTTTCTATTCACTTTCTTGCTTTTGAGTTGAATAAAAATCATCTGGTATAAATCAAGAATTTCCATATTTAGAAAGTTTTGGTGTGATCAAAAAAAAGAAAACAAATATGAAATATATTTTGCTTTGAAAACTTACATCATGGATGACATCTAGCACATGACCAGAAGCTTCAGAGTAGTCTGCCTTGGCTGTAATACTGTTGATGCTGGTAGAGGTCACCGGTGTCTGTAAGGTCTCTAACAGCTGTTTCCCGTCTCTACAAACCTACAAAGATAGACACTCAAATGTCAATAATGAGGACTATACAAACCTATAAATATAGAAAATAGAATGTCAATAATAAGGACTACAAACCTACAAATACAGACACTAGATAGTCAATTATGAGGACTACAGAGCTGATAAGTTTGCTATAATTATGTAACATGATCATATGATTTTGTGAAATTCAAGTATTTTTTTTTTAATTTGAGATTCTATATAATTCCAGCAAAATACTTGTACATTTCTAAAATGATGCTAAAATTAGACTTGATCATGTCACAATGTTTATCAAAAAAAAAGTCATTCATCAATCAAGATTTGCCCAGGATTTTAGGAAATGAAATTCTACACCGAATACATTGTTCCTAAATAGATCAACAGTTCTGTGGTAATTGATTAATCATCTTAGGTCCAGCGCTACATAGTAAATTATCATAAATTCCAGCTTTTGAAAAAAAGGTGGGTAGACAATATTTTCTGGTGAAATCGAACTTTCAAGAATCACTATATTTTGAAATAGTCTTAAATATAATAAAATGTATCTCATATCTTTTCTTATGTTTTACACAAATAAATAAAACATATATAAATTAATAAAATACAATTATTTAGTTGTAAATAGCTTTAAAATTGGTGAAAAATCAGCATTTTTTTTCTCGATTTTTGTCTATAAACATATGTCCCCCCCCCCCGTGAAACACAAAAAGCTTTGGCATAAATTTGTAAAATGACAGTCCATGTTACCTGTAAAAAGGAATTTTTGTTTCACGGAGGGGGGGGGGAAAGATGTTTTAAAAATATTTTCCGTTTTCCGTTGATTTCTATAGTGAAAAACACAAGTTTTACCAAAATTATAGAGTTATCTCTCTTTGATATCCCAACTAAGTAACGTTTTATGAAAATTCATATAAGTATCTATAAAAATTTTTAAAATCATTCGAATACGTTAACTTTTGAGAATTGACTTAGAGGTAGCCGGGAGAACAATACTATCGTTCGTAGTTCTCAGAGGTACTCTGAGCAATGAGCTCACTAAATGATACCCCCCGCCTCCTATATGGTTATTATGGCAAAGTCCATGTTTTGCTCTGGGAGACCTGAAATAAGTGTCAAATCAAAAAGTAAAATAGGAGGTGCACTTAATGGGCATTATGTAACAAGTCTCATTTTATTTCATTCAGTGGTAAAGGAGGAGTTGCAGACAAGAGATGGGTACCCCCGAGTGTAACAGATGGACATACAGACAGACGTACTGCTAGACGGATGGACATCCCGATCACTATATCCTCCTGCTTTTCAAGCGGGGGTATAATAAATGTTAACTATGTACATGTATTTTCCATGAGTTATGAAGGAAATCTAGCTTTCCAACTTACAATTAATGTACAGTAGCTTATCACTGTGTAAGACATTCTTACTTTATACTGAATTCATACAAAACAAGACATGTAGGCTTCTAGATTATGCTCCAAGACTTGACTATCAGTTAAACACAAAAATAACTACCTAATATGTCAGTATAACACTGAAATGAATATTTACATCAGTATAATGCTGTGAAATGACTACTTATGTCAGCATAACACTATGAGATAACTTACATCAGTGTAGCATTGCGAGATGACTTCTGTGAGATTCTGATGCTGGTGTAGAGCTAGCTCCAATTCTTCAATTTCAGCAGGAAGATGGTCATCTTCACAAGCTTGTCTCCAGCCTGCCACCTGGGCCAAGTACTGAACAAAAGAAAAAATAAAATGTAGACCAAAGAATCAGAAACAAAACTCACGATGAAAATCTTTAGAAATGAAAGGATTTCGAACAATAGTATTACAACACCTTTTAATGAAAAATTATGAAATCTCAAACAATTCCTAAAAATTGCAATAAGGTGGAACCAAAATTATTTAAAGATGAGGAAAGGAAATTTCTCTAACCTTTCCTAGAAATCAATTTGTCATGTTCATGAATAGACAATGAATTAGTGCATCCAATTCCAAATGGCTGATCTATGTGCACTCATGTTGCATAACAAACACTATTTGATTTTAATTTCCGCATGATATAACCTATTAATAATGTACCTAACACTCAATGGTATGTACCACTTACACCGACTTCCTGAGCACTGCCGTCAAGATTCCTTTTGATAAAATACCACTACAGGCTGGCTTTTGGACAACATACATGTTAAAAAACTTACTAATATGTACACACTAATACAAATTCAACTTACTGTAGCACTTATATCCACTAGTGCTGAAGCAATCAGATATAGCATTTATTGTAAACACTTCTCTAGTGTACTTTTTATGATTTCATGGAAAGAACAAGAGGCCCATGGGCCACATCGCTCACCTGAGCACTGTGGCTAGGAAAAAGCAGGATTGGTTTATACTTGAAAAGATTAAATCCAAAAGTAGTCCCAAGACCAGTCATGGCTTCGCTATTCTTGAGAAGAAGATTTTTAAAGAATTATCCTATACATTTCTATGTAAAACTTTGGTCGGCCATTTTGGCCCCGCCCTACCCCTGAGGGTCTTGATTTGAACAAACTTGAATCTACACTACCTGAGGATGCTTCCATATAAATGCGATCAATTATGGCTTTGCTATTCTTGAGAAGAAGATTTTCAAAGAATTTTCCTATACAAAAACTTTGATTCCATTTTGGCCCCGCCCTACCCCTGGGGGTCATAACAAATTTGCATTTACACTACCTGAGGATGCTTCCATATAAATATGATCAATTATGGCTTTGCTATTCTTGAGAAGAAGATTTTTAAAGAATTTTCCTATACATTTCTATGTAAAACTTTGGTCGGCCATTTTGGCCCCGCCCTACCCCGGGGGTCATGATTTGAACAAACTTGAATCTACACTACAGGATGCTTATATAAATATGATCAATTATGGCTTTGCTATTCTTGAGAAGAAGATTTTTAAAGAATTTTCCTATACATTTCTACACACTAATTTGAACAATCTTGAATCTACACTACCTGAAGATGCTTTCATATAAATATGATCAATTATGGCTTTGTTGTTCTTGAGGAGAAGATTTTTAAAGATTTGTTCTATATATTTCTATGTAAAACTTGGATTCCCTATTCTGGCCCCGCCCTACCCCCAGGGGTCATGATTTGAACAAACTTGAATCTACACTACCTGAGGATATAAGTTTCATTTTCCTGGCACAGTGGTTCTTGTTTTTAAAACATGCCACCAAATTTTCATTAATTCCCAATATCTCCCCTTGAATGAGGGCGTGGCCCTTCACTTTTTACTTTGTGGCAAGTTTGGTTGAAATTGGCCCAGCGGTTCTTGAAAGAAGTCGAAAATGTGAAAAGTTTACAGACAGACGGACAGACAGACAGACGGACGCCGGACAAAATGTGATCAGAAAAGCTCACTTGAGCCTTCGGCTCAGGTGAGCTAATAATATAATACGATGTATCTGAATATGGTAAACAATTAGGAACATTTAAACAGTTGTGAAATTCAAATTAATAAATGCGTAATTTTTTAAGGTAATTTTAAATTGGTTCTTCTCTCTCTCCTAGTACTATAATATTGCTTGATCTCATTATAAACTTCTGATATTTACAAGACCTAAACAAACTTAAGAAACTTGGCAATAATGTTCCTCTATTCACAATGCTGGTCATAGAAAAAGTTATATTACTTTTGTAAGTTAAAACAGTTACATGCTTTGCTACCTTTTTTAGTTTAAAAAAAAAAAAAAATTTCTTTTCTCCTAAACACCAATTTTGTGTTTTGAAAAAGTCCCTGGTTGTTAAAACCCTTCAGAGCTTTGATTTTTAATCGTTCAATTATTTTACATTTTCCCTGATGAAATAACCTCAATTTTGGAAGTCAAAAAAATTTAAAATATCTACTTCTAGTTCCACAGAAATTGAAAAAGCTTAATTCTTATACTCCAATACCTTCAAGTCATATTTTTGTATCTGGTATCTTTCCAATAGTTTAAAATGAAAATAATGTTAATAATTTAGATTCTAGGTGTTATAATAAGGACCATTTCAGAGTGTATTGACTAAGGATTAATAAAGCAAACTATATAATTAATATTTAATTCCACATAATATGTTTCTGAATCCCAGGAATCCACACACAAAGATATTTTCTTTGACATGTGGTCAGCTAAAAATTCCAAGCATGCTTGTTTAATTTCACCCATGCATATCACTCAGTCATTACCTTTATAATCAAGGCATTTACATAGTAAACAGGGTAACGACAATTAATTAATTTCAATTCTATGAGTAAAAGTTCAACATTTTGACTATGGTATAATTTTTTTTCTGATTTGGACCCGGAAATAAAAAAAATAAATGCGTAGCATTATTTTGACTTCAAATCTGGATCAGTCCGGTGTTTTGTTATTATTTAATCGGGATCAAAATTTACACAATATATAGACTTTACTTTTCTGTCTTATATGCACGATATTTACATTACAGACTTTCGTAATATACTATAGAGACGAGAAATAGCAGTTCACACATTATACATACCTACAGAAAAATGCGTGCAAGTACTGTTTAAAAAATGTGTGGTTTTTTTCCTTTTCCGCGAATTCAAACGACCGCGATTTGATGAAAATTGAATAAATCATGATCTTTTCCGACCGCGATTTTAACCTGCTATACAGTATATAGAACCACAAAGCCATTTCCTGTGACTGTGTATAATCAAATTAATGTTTCCATAAGCAATATGCATTATAAGCAAGAGTCCTTAATTAATGCACTTTTTCATTTTATGTGTCTAGTATAAACATTAGTGCACACTTATTGTGCACACTGTAGTAAAATTTAATTACTTTACATACAAAATCAACTTATCCAGAGTACCTGTTCTGCCTTTTTGTAGAAGTTGACGGACATGTTTAACACCACACTTCGATCCTCCACTGCAGCTGCTAAGCTTTTCCACTCCCTCTCTAGCTGTCCTGCCTGCATGCGGATTGTGTTAGATGCATAATGTCCAGCATCACACAACCGCTGTGCCATTCCAAGTATTCTCTTAATGTTTACATAAACATTCTGAAATTAAAATCAGGAAATTTTACTATCCACACATTTTCCCTGTTGTTTCCTCGTTATGATGCACATTAGCCAGAAATTTTCAAGAGGTTCTCCATTGATAAGAACATTTCACTAAATGATGTAAACAAATTAAACCATTCAAAAATAGAGTACAACACTTCTTTCAGTGAATGGAAAGTCACTTAATATAACAATGTACTTATAAACGTGAGGATCATGGTTACTATCTTTAATTTTCTAGGAAAAAGAAGTACAAGTGTTTGAAACATTTTCATTAAATTAAACAAATGAGATCTGTGAAGTTCTTCCTTGATACCAGGTCAGTATATCACTAGATGCACTTTGATTTATTGCCAAAGTACAAAATGTCAATCATATACTGTTAGTAAATTCATTTATTATGACAGAATTTTAAATTAAACAAACAAGGAAAAAATCAAACTAAATTAACTACATGTATTACAAAATTACAAAGAATTATTAATTTCAACTGCACTGTTTGTTACTTATTATATAAAAGCATATGTTCTTTTTTTGGGGGGGGGGGGGAAGAAATACCAATATCTTAATTTTTGTATATACCCAGATAAACATTTTCTGTAAATTTCAAGAACTTTTCATTTTCACTTAGTCCATTTACTTGTATATTAACTCTGGAGAGTTAAATTCTTACATGTATATTCAAATGTTTTTAGCAGAACAGACCATGAATCAACGATACTGGAAAGTATGCTAGCTCTTTTTATCTCAAGAGCACAACTTCGCTTTATTGAGTAAAGAGGAAAAAATACTAAATGTATAATATGGAATGCCTTGTAGAGTCCTATATATGTATAGTTTAATTGGTAAATGAAAGGACATACCACAGCACTGTTAGCAAACTGTGTGTGTTCACTGTTCAGCTCTACTGCCATTTGATGGGAGTTCCCGATCTCTGTGTAGTTGACTAGAAATAGATCTCTGTTGTTGGCTATCCAATCAAACATCTAAAATAATGCAACATAATTGAAGAAAAAAACGTTAAAAAAAAAATAAAATATCATTCTTTTATTCTTTAATCATTTATGCTTAAAAAAAAAAGCTTGGTACATCTGAAGTGTGTTAGGTAAATTGGTTACCATTTCACTTTTGTTTTTACAATTCTAACATCTTTATATTGAGTCATCATCCCCATTACATGTAAGAGAAAGCTTTTAACTCTACCTTCTCTACGTCTTCCTCAAATATCCTCTGCTGTAGACATTGCTCCAGCCTGAGTCGTTTGACCTGCCACAGCTGATTCAGGTGCTGCTTGGTGCCATGCATCCTGTCCAGGAGCTGAGAAATCTGAGGCACCGAGCTCTGAAAATCAGCTGTTCCCGAGATCACAAATCTACGACCTATAAAACGAAAACACAAACCTTAATTTACTTTGAAGTTCTAAGTTAACCATGTATTAGAATTTTAAAAATAACAAACTATAACAAAATTTGTCATTCAAATAGATGGACTGACATCATCAATCAATATTCTAGCTTCAATGAACACAATCCTGCTACAAATATTTATTCGCCCTTTCTTTTGTTGTATCCGTAATTGAATGTAAAATAATAGAAGTAAGGGAGAGATATTTCATATACAGAGTTAGACAGTCACAAGTATGAGGAATCTGACAAAGTGCAATAACTGAATATAAAACCCCATTTCATAATGGTCAAATGGATGATCAATTTCAACCTTTTATCTATGTGAACACGAGTTTTAATAATATACAGGCAAATTTTCATATTAAATATGTTCATTATGAACATAAAACTACATGTATTAGTTACAGTGTTTCAGAACATAAATGGGTAATATATACCAAGTTTCAATTGCCTGTGTTTATCAAATACTTGAATATTTCCACATGCTCTCCAAGTTCAGTAGAAAATAGAGAAAAAGTTTTGAACAATCAAAATCATTCAAAGTTAAGTCTTAAGACATATTTGGAATATTATAAAGAAAGAAAAGGAGACTAAATCTTATTGTGAATATTATAATACAAACTAATATTAAGAAATATGCTTCATCATTCAGGGAAGCAGTGGTGTTTAGCAATATATCTCTATATATATGTATATACAATTATACATGTATCATGAGTATGTTGGCTTACAATCCAAAATATTTACATTACATATATCCACAGCCAACTGCTGAAAAGTTCACAGGAATATCAATTGCGTTACACATAATACATTAAGCTCACCTTCAGTGTTTTCATCATTATTACCGGTATATTTTTGCTAAAAATGTACATTATCCAAAGTAATAGCATGGTAAGCATTTTTCTTGACATTTATTAAAAATTAAAGATTCTACAGACAGTCACACCTAACTAATAACTAGCTTGAACTTGATAAAACCAAGAAAACTTTGAGATATACAAGGATTTGAGATACTGAGGGTAAAACAGCTTAGGACTTATAAATTACTTCAACCAATGTATTCAAGGTGTCAATGTCCGAGATACCGAAGTTCAGCTGTGGTTTTATATTTAGTGTAATGGATCTAGAATAGGTAAATATGGACATATTTTGAACATTTCAATCTATTCAGAAAGAAGCCTGAAAATGACATATATTAAATACCACAAATTGTTACACCTCTAAATGTTGTTCATAAATTAATCCCCAAACTACAAATATTGCTAATGTATTCTCTTTCTCTACTTTCAAATTAGCAGGTTTTCAGGAAGACCTCTTCTTCATGTTTAGAAATCTGTCTTCACTAAACAAGAACACTGAACAAGAAAACTGGCCATTGGATCCAAAAGTCTATTTTACTTGTAAAAAATTCTATCAAGGACAATCTATTTTTTTATCTACAAGGAAAATAAACAAAGAAGTGCAAAATCAATATTAATTTAAGATATTATTTCCTTGTGCCACAAATGTTCGAGTTAAGGTCAAAACACACCAATGTAAACTGACCTTGTTGTTGCCCCTCCCCGGTAATTTCCTGCAGTATTCTGTGCCCCTCCATTGCCAGCTGCTCCACGGGGGCCATTTGAACCCTCCTCTTCAGGTGATTATGTTCCTCCAGGCGGTACTGGGCGCCACTCAACTCCTCAGGTAGCTCAGGATTGGTCAGAATCTCACCAAGGTCATCCAATTTGTCCAACAGATCTAAAGCTTTCCATATGAATTCTTCCAGCATCTAAAATGATATCACATTTCCTGATCAAAAGTGCTATAAAGTTGGTTTTTCTATTTGTGATTCATATGTTTCTATTTGAAAGTCTTTCAAAAAAAAAGTTTTCTGAGAAAAAATATGCATTGATTAGATTATTTGGGAAATGCTCAAAATAATGACTATTTAACGGTCGTGTCACTCTCAAAATTTACTGGTACATGTATAAGCTTAAGCTTGAGAAATTTCTGTTCACTAAAATTTAGCTCCAGGTTAAAATAATTAAAATTTATTCAACTGCAGACAAACTTAAAATTTTTACATTTTTTGTTTTGCTCTTACAAAATATTGGTGAAAAATATACCATGGTTTGATTAAATTTGATATTTTAGGCCACTGAAGACAAACTTAAAATTTTTACATTTTTTGTTTTGCTCTTACAAAATATTGGTGAAAAATATACAGCATTTTTTTCTGAAAACCATGCTCTCATTAAATTTGATATTTTAACTCAATTAATACTATTCTTCGTATATATTCTTGAATTCCAGGCACTCTAGTTTGTTTTCAAATTTCAAGTGTGGTGATTTTAACATTTCAATTTTAAGGATAGATGCTAATATTTAAAAAATAACAATCAAGTTTTGATTTTACACATTGCCACTTTAAACCTAAACATTTATGTCATGTAAAAATTAGAGCTGACCAATCTCAACTGTATCCACTGCTCATGGTTATACTCGAGACTGCCCTCAAATTCTCGAGTCAGTTGTGAACAATCAATGAACTTTGATAAGCCATCCACTGAGATCATACATGTCTGGAAAAAAACATTTCACATCATTTTAAAAACAGGCATTGCATAACAAAAGGACAATTTCCACTGAAAAAAAAATTAATGAAAAACGAAAATCTATAAACTCATTATACATGTTATAACATTATTCAGATTACCATTACACTTCATAAAAGACCCCTTACTTCAAAGTTATATTTGGCACTTCCCAGACTCGTTCTCTTCTTCTCCCAAAACTTTTCTGGTTTGATTATATATGCAATGTTTTTATATACTACCCGTCATAGGGTAAACAGTTCACATCATCATCAATCTTTTTCAACCAATGACCCTTGTTTAAAATATATACATGTATGCATGTATTACAGCAATTACCATCTTTTCAGCTATCAGAATCATGTCGACTTTCGCGGGATTTAAAACGAAAGTAGAATGGTAGATGAATACCGATACCGATCAGAATTAAGACGACGGAAAACAAAAATAAAAAAAATCGAGGCGGGGGTAAAAAATCGGGAAGAATCTAGGAATATTTTTATTATGGCCTAAGGTACTTTTTTCAGCTGATTAAGATTAATTGTCACATTTTTCAAATTGAAAATCAGATAAAGCATACTGTAAAATCATGTAATTTCGTGGTTTGAGAAAACTCTTAGTTTGTGGGGATTTGACTTTGTGTATGTATTTATGTATGTAACATTTTACATTTTGTGGTGGACATGAATTTTTGGGTCTCTTCATGCCTCAATGAAAATTAAACCCCTACAAAAATTTGTGATTTTTCAGTATTTTACAAAGCTTTATTTAAATAATCCTCTGCTAATCACCAAACCTTCTCATAAATATGCTTGTTTTTTGGCTTTTTTTCTTTTTTTTTTTTGCTTATTCTTATTAGCATTTAAATATGCATATTGAAAAACTTGCTGAATTTACTATTAACTTTGACACCTACCTGCAGTACTTTAAGTATGGGTTTGACTATCTGCCATGTTGATCCTCTCATATCAAGGATCATGGTAAAACCCCTCTCTCGTACTTCATTGCTACAATATTGTATTCACACATAACTTATTTTATATTAAACAAAAAAAATAGCATTCACTTATATACTGAAAACATTAAGATCATATTGAACTGCCTAGTTTTACAAGATCCCAGGAAGTATATAGCTTTAGCTCTGTCTAAAAACTATTACCTAGGAACACTAGCTAAATAGGTCATGAGGCGTCTCAAGTCATCTGTATCGAGTCTTTCTGGGTGGGTGAGGGCAGGAAATGTCAGGATAGCACCTCCGCGCCTGTCTCTTCCACCTAAAATAGATTCAAGCTCGGGGTCAAAATAATAACCAATGCATAACATTAACATATATACTAAACTACTGCATAGAATTAGATGAGAAAAAAATCATGTTTATCTTTAATTAAAAGTACATGTATATTTAATCGCAACATGTATGCATGTAGTATTTCAAGAAAAGCACTCTGTATTCATCTACTTGTGTTACAATGTTATTACATTACAGTACATTTTTATTAGTTCTAGCGAGCATATCGTGGAACAATTAAATCATCTGAATTTAAATAAACATGCAATATTCTGACAATAAATATCTTATTATCATCAATGTAAATTTACAGCAATCCATCACATCATTGAAGTTACATCTGCATACACCTAAAATGAATGCCATGTTGAAGCAGGCATATTATCTGATTAATATTGAACAGTGTACCAGACATGTTTACCTGAGAGGTAGGCCACCCGCTCTCGCAGGATGGGCACAATATCTGCTGCCTTTAACCCATCTGTTCTTTTTCCTCCTAAAAAAAATTATTGCGTAATGTTATTTGTCACTTTATTACAAGAATTCAGGAACATATGATGCTATTTTTTATGCATCAAATGCAGAAACATCTGCAAACAATCCTCATTAACATAACCAAAAGTTTTCAAGACAGAGCTATGTCTAATAGAAGATGTGCAACAGAGATTTATTTAAACACAGAGCTGATATATTTTTGTGCTAACTTAGTATACCAAAAAAAATTGAGCTAACTTAGTATACCAAAAAAACTCAATATCTCAAAAATTATTAAAATCGGCATGCTTGAAGTATCACTTCTGACATTCTAGTTTTCTGTGATAATCACTGATAATTAACCCAATGCATAACATTTTAACTCAATATGTCTCACAAGTTCACAAGTTTTGTACGTTTACAAATCACTTTTTAAACAAAACATGGTTTTAATAGAATGTTCTGTTATTAGGACAACCTCTGTATAGTGAAAGGTGTGCAATCCTAACTCTACAGTACAATCTTTTTCATTGTGAACTCCCACTTTTATTTTCATTCCCATTGCACACTTTTCTCCACACTATCTAATGCACATCCTTTCTAATATTCCAACAGAAAATCTGTCTCCAAATGATTGTCAAATTAGACAGGTATAAAGAACTGTAGACAGGTCTTTTTTCAGGTGTTTTGATTGTCTGAAGGTGAATACCTCGAATACCTTATATTAGTTATGTAGAAACCAGATGAGTCTATAGATAGGAAGGGTTGAATATATACTGACTTCACTGTGACACATAAGTTCAACAAGGTTTTATGTTTAATAACAGACTGGTCAAAAGTATTTTCCTTTGTGTTTAGTACTAATCTGTACAAAATCCTTACAGCTAAATACAATTGAGCATATGCCATATTATTTTTCCTATCACTGATATCAGCACTAGGGTATACAATTTACATTCATCACACCTGACTGCTTTTTGTCCTGGGTACCTGCATGGAATGAACGACACATGTTTGTGTTGGTTATCTTACGTTACGATTGTTTACATTTTATTTGCAGTTTAGGATCATTTTTGTTTGTTTGTATACTTTACTGATTTGTGGGTCTCTTCATATTTCCAAAACAGTGAAAATTAAACTCCATGAAAATATGTGATTTCACAGTATGACATACAAATTTCATTTCCAAAGTCACGTTCAGCTTTAAGAAGCAAATTAGTGCTTTTAAAATTTACGGGGCTATTAATCTACGAAACCGCTATAAAAACAAATAATTATCCACTTAAAATCCCCACTATACTGTTTATCTATGAGTATTTAAATGGTCTTTTTATCTTTTTATTATAAAATATTGGTTTCAAAATCTAATAAAAAATTGGTTGCAGAAATGTTCTTGCTTTAAAATAAAATGTTGAGTAAAAACACTGATATTAAAGTTACTCTTAACAACAAAATACAGAAAAATTGGCAAATCCCTGTAGATAAGAAATTAGGAGGAAGTGGAGATGAATCATAGAAGATAAGCTGCAAGACCTAGATTATGTACCTGACCCATTTGTAAGATTTTGCTTCCAAAGACTTGTATAAAGGGTATAACCGACTAAATTTCAATGAATGTTACCCAGAGTATATCACTTATCAATTAAATACATAACAAAGGTTTGAGAAACAGTCGTAAGTGGACATTTTGTTAATGATACTGAGGCTGAGTTACCAAAATACAAAACCCAGCATCACAGTGTTACAGAAATGGCCTCAAAGACCAACAAAGAAGTACCTGGTCGATAGTAAAATTCAACATCTCGATCATTTAAACCCTCATTTGGCTGCTCCTTTGAACTCATCTCCTAACTTCAACAGAAGTTCGAGAAATCATGATGTAGATCTTCGCATCATTGTTTATTCCTGACATCTTTTGTCGGCCATGAATTCGTAATCATCGTACACCTTCGTTCCATATCGGATATGTTCGCGAAATGTCGTCACCGGAAGTGATGACTTTCGGAAGTTACTCATTCGGAATATCTTGGTAGTTTTCTTTGGAATCTCACATGTGAAAGAAAGATGACAACAACTTTCTCAAATCCCTCTCAATTGTTGCCTCTAGGTTTGTTTTGACCAATTAAACGTATTTGAATATTTTAAATGGCGATGTCCTCAAATTTTTTTAGCATATTTCTCAAAGGCTCCTTTTGTAGATCTTCCCCAACATGTTCAACCTGCATTGGCTGCATGATCATCTAGCTATTCTGACATCAAATTGTTTCAATTTAATCCTATTGTCTTTTTCAGAGTTGGTGGATAAATGTATTGGATCTCGAATTCATATAATCATGAAAAATGACAAAGAAATAGTTGGAGTGTTACTGGGTTTTGACGACTATGTCAGTATCCTTTGTTTAATTGTTTTTCTCTACATTTTTTATCTAATTTGATTAAGGAGAACAAACCATATATTTCCCTGGTACCCTGAATCACTAATCAGGTGTTTGACGAACTAAGAAGTAAAGCTATATGGCCATGGTGATCAAACCTGCCTAACTGCCACATTTTTCTCTCCTTTAAAGTGTAGGTCTGCTCTCAAAAATATCAAACTGCTTAAGGAAAGATGATAAACAAACTTTAAAAAAAAAGTATTGAAAATGACAACTTAAAGTATGTTTATATAAGTACGAGGGGTGATCAAAAAGTTCGCAAACTATCTCTATATTTACAAAACCACAATTCAGATTAGAATGAAATTCGGTACACACATAGCCATACACAAGGTCTATAAATAGCATATGCTGAATAAAGTTTCTCTCCTTGTTTGTGACGTCACAATGTGAAAATGACGTCACTATTTAGGTCACCTGTGACGAAAAATGGTTGTCTCTGTCGAACTCGTTCAACAAACGACTGTACAATTTATTGTAATATCTTAGACATCCCTCTGCAGTATCATATAATAATTTGTACACAGTTTATAGAGATAAATGAGTTCCTATAAATTCAATTAATGATTGGATTAATTGTTTTAGTGAAGGAAGGCTGATGGTTAAAAATGATACTTGTCATCTTGCGCAGTGAAAGCAAGTTTGAAAAGATATGTATTTTTAATTAAGCAATTTGCTATCAAAGACCTCCAATTAGCACTTTGAAAAATAGTTGAATATTTGAACAATGACATAAGTATTAAATATCTAAGATATTGTTTACTTTAGATTTTAAACATATTAGACATGATAAAAAGGATGCACCCATTCTCTATCCACCTTGAATTAAAGTCTCTCCTGAGACAGAAGATTTGTGTTTTAATGGTCGCCATGCTTATTTTTGGAAAGGATGTTATTATCCACTTATTCTGTTGCCGAGATATGACCATTTCTGACAAATGAACTGTTCTTGTCATAAGAATTAACTCACATGGAAAGAAATATAAAACTCGGAAAAATCTTTCAACTTTTGTGACAGAACGCTACGGAGGTTGTCACGTGACTGCCAATATCACGTGATTCGCGCATGCGCAGAACGGTGGTTGATGTGCATTAAAATCGGGGAGGATCAATTTAAAATATAATCAACATTAAAACCAAATATTGTTTCTTGTATGGAAGTTATTCAATTAGTTTGCGAACTTTTTGATCACCCCTCGTAAAATGAATAAGTTAAGCCACATAGATTTTCATTTTCATTCAAAGTTTCACAATAATTAGAATTTAAGTGACAAAAAAGTTGTATAGATTAATAAGGATGCATGGTTTCAGATAGGCAGAATCTTGAACACTGTAGAAAGATAACAATTTCTTAATATTTTAGAAATTTTTTATTCAAATAATTTATAATCAAAATAGATGAAAGAATATATACCATATTTGAGCATCTATTTTTTTGTTTGTATCATCCGTCCCATCTGTACCAAGGCCCTCCTTTGACAGGCCTTTCAGCTGTCACTTTCAGGGCTTGGAAACTACTAAATTTTTGTCTGATATGAATAAAATCTTAATATATATATATATATATAGTTGTAGACTTAACAAGGATGTTTCTTTACATTGAATTTTCATGTTTTAATGTCAAAAAAAATATTCAAGCTTATTATTGAATGATATTTAATATATATTATATATATATATTTAATATGAATAATGATGTCTCAGAGTTTCTTATCCTTAACTTTCTTTAGACATGGTGCTAGAAGATGTTACAGAATTGTAAGTAAACAACTTGGTACATGAATGAAAGTGGTTACAATTTGAAAATTTATACCTTTATTGAAAAACTATTACACATAGACACATTGAAAATCAATACTGCATATGATTTAAAAGCATTCCAAGTTTCACCATCCACACAAAATATTTTCTGTTCTGAGTGTATAGATTTGAAACAATTTTGATGTCCAGGATTGCTAATAATTGATGTCAGAAAGTTTACCTCCCTTTGAATACTGAGTATAGTTTGAAATGCATTACGATAATTATGAAAGATTTTGTACATTTTATCAGTGAGAGCACTCCAGAAGGAAGAAGAGTTACAAAACTTGATCAAATTTTGTTGAATGGGAACAACATCACAATGGTAAGCTACAAATATAAAGGGTAAGGGGTATATGTAATGTAGAATCTGCAGTGAGCCATGATACATCATCTCTCTCCTCATTTTCATGTCTTTATTGCAGTCTGTATGTCACTGTATGCATATAAATAATGAATGTATAAAGGGGTAATATGATTCAAGGACATGTGAAATCAATACGTTGTATTTCCATTAGTGAACTCTTCAGAATTAGAGGCGAGTTTGATCGTCTGACTGGGAGAGCATGGCATTGCGGATAATACAAAACATATTGCCATTATCAATCCAATTTTAAATGCTAAGTGCATTTGTCATTCTAACTAAAGAATAGGAGAACTAAAAGACATATGTAAAAGAGCAAAAACCCTAACTTTATCGTCCATTTATAAAAATACGACATTTCCGAGGTATGTGTATTGACTTTAAATGTACCATTACAATAAATAGATACATACGATCACCAATATATTCTCTGGTTCTTAGGTCAGTTGTATTCATTACAAAACAGATGAGTTATGGAGCTATTCTTTAGCTCACCTCACAAAGTTGGGGGAGATAATGTAATACCCTCTGATTCGATGTCAGCATTCGGGGTGAAGGTTTTGAGCAGTTAAGTACTTCTATGCCCTACATTGATCAGACATGCATGGAAGATGCTTCTGTATGTTTCATTTCAAGGTTTCAGATGCTGCAATTTCAGCAAAGGAATGACCAGGGTAATGTTTTTGGAGCAGGTTAACATTTTGGTGCAGGATAAAGTATTTTGTTCAGGTCTCATTTCCAAGTAACTATGAGCCCTATGTTGACTTAATTTGCATGGATGATGCATATAAGGATGCATACTACCAGGCTTGCTTCGGATGCTGGATCTGACCTACACTGTCTCTTGAGTGAAGAAGTTACATTTTTTGGTGTATAAGGTTTCATTTCAAAGCAAATATGAGTCCTATGTTGACCATACTTGCATAGATGACAAATCTTCATCTTTGCTAGCCATTAGCTAGGGGTTTCTGATATTGCTTCTTAATTATTCTTGAAAAAAAACTTTGATTTAATTTTTTTTAAACACGTCTTTATTTCTGTCTATGATGCAATCTATGCGTAAAAGATTCGAGATCAAGTGATGAAAACAATCCCGTCTTTTGACTACAACAACGTATGCCAAGGGTTCATGAGGAGAGTAGCGTATCAGAAACCCTTGGCTAGCGAAGATGACAAATCTTGGATGCACACTACCAGGCTTGTTTCTAATGCTGGATTTGACTTACATTTTCTGGATGAGTGAACAGGTAAAAGTCTTTGCTGCAGGTCTCATTTCCAAGTAACTTTGAGCCCTATCTTGACCAAACTTGCATTGATGATACATTTAAGGATGCACACTAAAGGACTTTCTTTTGATGCTGAATCTGACTTACATTTTCTGGATGAGTGAACAGGTTAATTTTTTTGAGTAGGTTCTAGGGATGGGTATTGCCAAAAATTTCGTATCGCGATATATCATGATTTTTTCCCCAAATATCACGATAATATCATGACATTTTTGCAATAAATTTTTACAATGATTTTAAATGAATTGTCATTATTTTTTTATTAAAAATATGCTAGAAAAACAAAATTTCACTGTTTTGAAATTTTTATGTACATAAAATTAATAATGTTTGGATGGTAAGATGCTGTTCTTTCACCTTTTACAATATTTTTTAGACTTTCTATAATTGTAATTTTAAAGATGAAAGAAATAAATTAATAATTTCTGGACTTTATAATATGTACCTAAATACCGGTATTTAGGTCTCCGTATCACGATACGTATCACGCAACAAAAAATTGCGTTTTACCGGTATACCGATAAAATCGCACATCCCTAGTAGGTTCATTCTAAAGACTTGGAATATAAGCCCTATGTTGAGTAAACTTGCATATATGATACATCTAAGGATGCATGCTAATTGACTTTCTTCAGATGCTGAATTTGACATACATTTTCCAAATAAGGGACCAAGTTAATGATAGGAGTGCAGGTTTATAACAAAGAAACTATAAGGTCCATCTTGACCAAACTTGCATGGATAATGTGAGATTCTAGAATTGCTTTTAAGATATTTGGGATTTTTATGCCCCTTTTTAAAGAAGGGAGGGCATATTGCTTTGCTGCTGTGTGTCAATCGATCTGTCTGTCCACCAAGTTTCTGTTCATTTTCTTCACAACCATTGTACATACTGAAATAAAATTTGGATTTATCGTAAGAATATCTAGGTCAAGTTTTGACAGAGATATGCCCCCATGACTTGGAAAAATTTCAATTATTTGCAGTTTCCGTTCATTTTCTCTGCATCGGTTGCACATACTGAAAAAAAAATTGATATACAGATTTATCAGAAGGAAATCTAGGTCAAGTTCTGTTTTGGGTATGATCGAGCCATTTTGACAGAGTTATGCCCCTTAGAATTAGAAAAATTCCAATTAATGCCAGTTTCTGTTCATTTTCTTTGCTGAGGTTGCACAAACTGAAATCCCTTTGGGGAGGGAGGCTTAAGTGTTTTACAAACATCTCTTGTGTTCTTTTTGGTTTGTGTGGGGTTTTTTTCCCGTTAAGAAAAATAGGCTTTTGAATTTAATGTGGATGCTTAACAATGAAAACGACTTGGAATGGCCCAATATAACAAAAGTATACCTATTTTTTGGTCCATCTGTAAAAATATTGACTTCATAGAAAATCATATTGACCTCAGACTTCATGCTTGGTCAATATGATTTTCTGTGAAGTAGATACTTTATAGATCTATTTCATGAAAGGACTGTATTAAAAAAACTATAATTTATAAAGGTTTTACTTTATGGTAAATTACTTGTATATGTTCAGAGTTTTGGTGATCTTCCAAATAAAGTGTACAGTTTATGCTGATTTTGAATGTTTTTGTATTTTACAGTTGGTGCCTGGAGGAGAGGGCCCAGAGACATAAGGGAGGATTCTGTCATGTAATTCAGGGAGGGACATCATTCACAAGACATTCATACCATGGGAAACATTTCACCATCTGTTACTTCATGATTAAAATTAAAAATATGTTTTTGCAGAAATAGCTCTTTTTGTCTGTTTGTAAATCTTTTTCCATTTTTCCCCTCAAAATGCTGCTATCTCTACAGATTTTGTCTATTTCAGTAAAAATAGATATAAGGTATATGAACAGACTACAACTATGGCATGCCAATTTCACAAAAATGAGCTAAACATAGTTTTACAGTCGATAAACTAGGTTTATCGGTTGTAAACTTTAGTTTACGGACTGTAAACTATAGTTAACAATGTTAATCTATATTTTACCTCTGTAAACCATAGTTAACGCAATAATCTATGTTTCAGAACCGTAAACTTTACTTAGCACTGAAAACAATCATCAAAACATATATTTATACCCCACGCAACTAGTTGCGTGAGGTATAATGTTTTTGACCCGTCCGTCAGAGTGTCAGTCAGTCCTTTTTTTGTCAGCGCAACTCCTCATAAACCGCTGCACAGAATTTCGTTAAACTTTGCAGATATTTAGGACACAATGTGTAGATGTGCATATTACCGGGAAATTCCAATTCCATTATTATTTCAGGGAATTTCCACACTTTTTAACTTAGGAATTTGTCCATACCTTGTATATAGAGTTGAACAGTTTGTCAGCGCAACTCCTCATAAACTGCTGCACAGAATTTCGTCAACTTTGCAGGTATTTAGGACACAATGTGCAGATGTGCATATTACCAGGAAATTCCGATTCCATTACTTTTCCCGGGAATTTCCACACTCTTTAACTTAGACATTTGGCCATACCTTGAATATAGAGATGAACAGTTTGTCAGAGCAACTCCTCATAAACTGCTGCACAGAATTTCGTCAAACTTTGCAGATATTTAGGACACAATGTGTAGATGTGCATATTACCAGGAAATTCCGATTCCTTTATTTTTTCTTAGAATTTCCACACTTTTCAACTTAGATTTTTGGCCATACCTTAAATATAGAGATGAACATTTTGTCAGCGCAACTCCTCATAAACTGCTCCACAGATTTTCGTCAAACTTTAGAGATATTTAGGATACAGTGTGTAGATGTGCATATTACCAGGAAATTCCGATTCCTTTATTTTTCTGGGAATTTTGGCACTTTTCAAATTAGATTTTTGGCCATACCTTGAATATAGAGATGAACATTTTGTCAGCGCAATTCCTCATAAACCGCTCCACAGATTTTCGTCAAACTTTCGAGATATTTAGGACACAGTGTGTAGATGTGCATATTACCAGGAAATTCCGATTCCTTTATTTTTCTGGGAATTTTGGCACTTTTCAAATTAGATTTTTGGCCATACCTTGAATATACAGATGAACATTTTGTCAGTGCGACCCCTCATAAACCGCTGCACAGAATTTCGTCAGACTTGGCAGATATTTAGGACACAATGTATAGATGTGCATTTTACCAGAAATTCCGATTCCTTTATTTTTCTGGGAATTTCGGCACTTTACAACTTAGATTTTTGGGGATATCTTGAATATAGTGGTGAACAGTTTGTCAGCGCAACTCCTCATAAACCGCTGCACAGAATTTCATCAAACTTTGCAGATATTTAGGACACAATTTGTAGATGTGCATATTACCGGGAAATTCCGATTCTTTCATTTTTTTCCGGGATTTTCAGCACTTTGAGTTTTGGGGGAGCATGGGGTATGTGAGCTTGCTCACTTTTTCTTTCATATCTGATAAATACAGTTTCACGATTTGTAAACTATGGTTAACAACTCTTAACTATAGTTAACAGTCTGATAAATATAGTTTCATGATTTGTGAAACTGATTGTAAATTATAGTTTACAGAGGTGAATCTATGTTTATCAACAAAATCTATTGTTAATAATAATAATAATAATAATAATAATACTTTATTTTAAGAGGGTGACCCGATTAGTGCAATGCACTAGTCTTCCTCGGGGCCCTCTAAGCATGTTCACAATAATACAATAATGAAATCATTGTACAATAATAAATAATACAACATGACGTAAAAATACAAGTACATATAGATTTCAGGAGATTTTAGTTGCGGCATGTTATTATGAATTTTTCTACATTTTTACGAAATGTGTGTAAATTCTGTGAAAAACGTATGTACAAAGGTAGTTTGTTCCATAAATGAACACCGGAATAATGAAAAGAATTTTTAAATTGATTTGTTCGATATTTCGGTAGATGAAGGTCATAGTTTGTTTCAGATCGTAGAGCATAACTACTAGAAGAAATAAATTCAAAAGAGTCTCTTAAATAAGTAGGTGCCATACCATGAAGTGTTTTGTACAGTAATATATATTTATGAAAATCAATCAACTCGTAAATAGTCAGCCATCCAAGTTTTTCGAATAATGGTAGTGAAGGGGCATCATAAGCCACATCTAGTATAATACGGGCTGCCCTTTTTTGCAATTTAAAAACTCTATCTATGCCAGCACCTGGCGCATTACCCCAAATAGTTAGGCAATAATTCAAAGAGGGCAGAATGTATGCATTATAGAATAGTTTTCTTGTGTGTAAGGGAAGGAATTTTTTAATTTTGCGCAACGTATATAATTTATATGTCAAAGATTTACAAACTGAGTCAATATGGTGATTATAGCGCAATGAACCATCAATATGCACTCCCAGAAGTTTTTCAGATTCAACATTTTCAATTACAGTGGCGCCTCATTTATCCGGACGCTTAGGTTCCCAGGCAAATTGTCCGGATAAGTGAAGCGTGTATCTGAATTCTATTGATTTCTCTTCCAGATATACTGTATTTGTATTGTAACTCTTATATACAAAGAAAGATATTAAAATGCTATCATTTAGAAATAATTAATTTTTTTTTAAACACTTATCTTTAGTATATATCAGCACTACTTTTACACTTTTTTCAAATATAATAATTTTTTTATAGCTAAAAACTAGATGCCGACTCGCGCTCTCTTTGTCGGTGGTGTAGACATGACTGTAGCTGGAGAGCAGAATGACAAACATTGGATATAACGCTGCTTATATGGGCAGATTTTTTCATTACCCAGCTTAGTTTTTACTCTGTATTTCCTATAAATTGATGAACATAGCCAAGCCAATTCTCTCATGTGCAGCTTTGATAACGCCCAAGCGAGCTGTCAGTATCTGGTCTAATTTTAATATGAACATGCACTCATCCACGCTAAATCTGACATAATAAAAATTCACGCAGTAGTCATCCCAAGTGAAATCATTGATTGTCTAAAATTATTTAAATTTGATTAAATGTTTTAGTTTTTTTTCATCTTCCGATGAAAATTACACAATACCGATGTGTGTGTGCCATGTGTAGACTACGAGATTATGAAACTATGTCGTCCCGTCTATAAATAGAAAAATATTTAAAACCATATCTGTGCTAAAATTATAAATATCTCAAGATAACAAATAACTGAATAGAAAATTGTTTTCTGTTACCAACACAGTTAATTGTTTATTTTCATTTGTGTATCGATCTCTCGTATATTATGACCATACCCACTTAGCATGCTTAATCTGTGGACTAATCATCGTAAGTCATTCATAACACTGGCACAGGTGATCGTCTTGTAAAAACAACCAATCCGGCCAGTGTTTTGATAACAATTATCACTCAGTTCAGGCGTGAATGTTGACTAGAATGGAAGTACAAATTAAAATTTACCGTCCGGATAAATGAAAAAATTTATAACGTAAAAATACATTTTGTAGTAAAAAAGAGCCGTCCGGATACGGAACGCGGAATTCCGGATAAATGAGTCAAAATTACGTTGAAAAAATCCGTTCCCGAGAAAAATCGTCCGGAAGGTGAAGCGTCCGGATATCTGGCGTCCGGATATCTGAAGGTCCACTGTAATTTGTTTGAAGCATATAAATTTAGTTCAGGTGAATCTATTCTTGATTTTCTCTGCTGAGTTCCCATAAGCATACATTTTGTCTTATTGGTATTTAACACCATTTGATTTTTGGAACACCAATTTTCAATCTCACACAAATCAAAGTTAAGGGCATTCTCAATACCTTCTATATTTTTATGATATGTATGCAAGGTTGCATCATCGGCAAACATATCAATATCTGTTCTATTTACATGTAAAGGGAGATCATTTATATACAATAAAAATAATAGGGGACCTAAGATAGAACCTTGGGGCGCTCCTGCTGTGACGGGCAAAAAATCAGAGGAATATGTTCCTATTTTTACACACTGAGACCTTGAGGTTAAATAAGAATGAAACCATTTAATAGCCCTTTGATCAAAGTGATATGATTGAAGTTTACTTATAAGAATTTCATGATTAACCAAATCAAATGCCTTGCTAAAATCAATGAAAGTTATGCCTACTAGATTTCCTTGGTCCATAGCTTGTAGCCAATTATCCGTAAGTTTTGTAAGAGCCGTTTGACATGAATGAAATTCTCGAAATCCAGATTGTGATTTAAATAAAAGATCAAAGTTAGAGGCAAAGTTACGTATTTGATTTGCTATGTGTTTTTCAACTAATTTTGATAATGTTGGAAGAATGGATATCGGTCTGTAGTTCCCTGGATCTGCGTGGTCGCCATTTTTGAAAATAGGAGTGACTTTTGCTTGTTTTAAACTGGATGGAAATACTCCATTAGTGATACTAGCATTTATAAGATGTGTAATAGATTTGCATATGACATTTGCCGAAAGTTTTAGAAGACGAGGTCCGATAAAGTCTATACCGGCTGACTTATTTACATCAAGTGTATTCAACATATTCAATACTTCAAGTTCAGTTATTTCATTAATACTGAAAACATTTTCTTTCCCTAGTTTAGTTTCTGTATACCGATTTAATAATTCTGAATCAAAACTTTGTACTGACATATCTGCTAATAATTTACAGGATATTTCCGTAAAGTGTTTGTTAAAAATATCAACAATATCCTGTAAATCTTCAAAATCTAAACCATTTTGTGTAATACGGCTAGGTGTAAAAGTTTTGGATTTAGATGCCAAATGGTTTAAATAACTCCACATTTCTTTAGGACTTGAG